TTTAAATATCTTATAAACTTCTTTTATCTTTCGTTTTAAAGTTATTATAAATCTTAATAATTTCGTTAATTCTAATAATCTTATAAAATTACTAAAATCATTAAAATCATTTCCCTTTAATACATTTTTATCCGTAATTTACCCGTTCTTAGGATTATATGTTTTAAGATCTTTACTTTTATACAAGGTATAGTTCCCGTGCTATTAATTTGTAACACTTAATTAAAAATGTTTTAATTTTTTTTTTTTTTTTTTTTCTAAATGTTTAAATTTAACTTTACGATATATAATTTTAATAACTTTTGCTTTTATAACTTTTTTTTAAAAACGAAGCTAATTAAAACGCTTAATATAATTAAATATATTATTTTAACGAAAGTTAATTTTTTTTTATTAATTATTAATTTTAGTTTAATATTTATAAATTTTATTATAATATTTACGAATTTTATTTAATTAATTTTTAATTTCCTTATATAATTAAAAAAGTTTGTTTTTAACTTTATAACGTTTATTATACAAACGAAGTAATTTAAAAGATATATTATTTAAGGAATTTATTTTTATTATATTACATTTTAAATAATTATTATTATAAGTATAACGATTATAAATGGAAAAATCGGCAATTAAAAAGTAAAAGGTTTTACTTATACGAGAATAATAGGAATAAAGTATTTCTTAATAATTAAAAAACTTAATAAAAGTAATATAAGCGTTATAAGCGGCTTTTTAATTAAGTTGATAACGGGTTTTAAAAGTTGCTTTTAATATACGTCCTAATATTATAAAGAAAGTTAGCTTTATTAAACTAAAATAAAACGAGAAAATGGAAAAAAAAAACTTATTAAGATTTTTAAAAATAAAAAAGCTTAAAAAAAAGGAAATAATATTACGAGCTAATAAATAATAAAGTTATACTTAATATAAAAGCGGGGATATTAATTAATAACATTTTAATTAAATTTTAAAGATTTTATTAAAAAATATAAAATCCTTAAAATCCTTAAAAACCATAAGATTTACGATGCTTTTAATAAAACATTAAATAAAAAAAAAAAGTTTATAAAATATTTAAAACCATTATATATTTAAACATTTATTTACGTTTTTTTAATTATTAATTTAAGTTTTATATTTAACTTATATAAAAGGAAAAACTTTAAGCTTTTTTAACGAATATTTTTAATGTTTTTATTAATATTTAACCCGTATTATTATTGTTTACTTAAAATTAAAACTTTTATTATTACACTTTAACGGATTTAAGTATAAGTTTATCACATATTATTATTTATTTAAAATTAAAACTTTAATTATTATACTTTAATAAACTTAAATGTAAATTTATTATAATAAAAAGTAATAATTTTAATAATTTTATAAAATTATTATAATTATTAAAATTATAATAACTTTAAAATAAAAAATATAAAAAGTTTATAAAATATTTAAATTATTATATATTTAATTATTTATTTACATTTTTTTAACTATTAATTTAAATTTTATATTTAATTTATATAAAAAAAAAAACTTTAAACTTTCTTAATAAACACTTATAACGTTTTATTAACATTTAACCCGTATTATTACTATTTACTTAAAATTAAAACCTTAGTTATTACACTTTAACGAACCTAAGTATAGGTTTATCACATACTTAACCCATATCGTTATTATTTACTTAAAATCAAGACTCCAATTACTATACTCTAACGGACCTGAGTATAGGTTCGTCACATCCATGACGTATATTTAACTCGAATCAATCTATCCACCGTAATTTTGCTTTTTGCAATAAGGATACGCGGTATTAAGTTAAGACATTTATCACGTATTACACGATCTTAGTAAAAGGGTAGATAGTCCAAGCCCCTCTCTATATCTACCTAGTTTTCCGCCCTACTATGGCCCCTTCGTTTTTCTCTTCGTTCCTCTTTTGTTTCTCTCTCCTCCCGTATATCCTCCCTTCCCCAACCATCGACATGGATATGCCCATTTTGCCGTTTTATCATCACCCGAGCTCAGGGTTAGCCATTTGTCTTCCTTGCCAGTACGCTTGTCTTAGTACCGAAATCCACCGACACTTACGACAACCGTTCCACAGCAATATTACCCAAGCCCGTCGAGCCGAACTCGTCCAGGCTATCCAAGCGATCCCGGGTATCCGTCGAACACAAGACGACCTGATCGACTTTCCGTACCCGCCTCCTACCGCTCCGGCTATCCCCCAATTAGCTCCTCCGGCCGAGAACGGGTTTGCCTGTCGTCAATGTCCCTACATCGTTCGCACGGAAGAGGGCATCCAGACGCATTATTGGAAGCATCACGGCTGGGTCAACAACCAGGCCCGCGGAAGACAGCCGAAAGGCTCTCCCGCAGCCCCGTGGCCTTGGCGGACAGGTGTGCGGTGTCAACAATTTTTCCCGAGCCGCCGAGCGAGCCAATGGTTCGAAGTAGAAAGACCCGTACGTACACCCCTACGCTGGACCAGGAGGCATGGGGCCTTTGCCATCGATCGGGAAACCCCTTGGCTAACGCGTGATCAGGAACCGCCTACCCCACTCTCCGCCGCCGCCGTTCCCGCCTCCCCCGCTTCTTCTACGGCCGTTCCCACGGCTCCTTCTATGGCGGCCTCTTCTTCTCTCCCAGCCTCTTCTTCTCTCCCAGCCCCTCCGACAGTCCCCACGCAAGGCTCGCTCTCGAGGGAACAGGCCCGTAGCGCCACCTTACTCCAAAAAGGGTTACACAATCTCGATCGAGCCGACCGGCAGATGAAGCGGGCCCCCGACCTCGCCGACGAGAAGATGGCGCCGAATCCCTGGGTGAATCGTGCCGGCTGGGTCCACCACCTACGGGACCACCGCGCGCCCGAAACCCTAAACCGACTCCTCGCCGCCGTCGGCCCCGTACGTGACGACGAGCCGGCCATGCAGCTGATCTTGGCCAGCTTCCATCGGGTGGTCGGTGCGGCCCGGGATCATTTGCGCGACGCCCCGTCGGCCTCCCACGTCCTGTTCTCGCTCAACCGCGTCGACGGCGACATGCCGAAGCTACCTTTCAACATCCACCTGCAGCCGGCGAGCTGGAACCGGTACGTGGCCTGGACGGGCCGTATCCTCTTATACCTGCAGCGCACGAGGACCTGGCCCGACGACGAGCGCCCGCCCTACCGGCTCACGCCCGACCAGGCCTACCTCAGCGAGGCCTTCTACCACTTGGCCGAGGAGGGGGCGAGGGTCGGGGTGGACGACGACTTGGCCGGCGCCTTGGACGAGCGGTGCTTGGACCTGTGGATCGCCCTGCTCGACCATCCCCTGCAGGCCTCCCACTACGACAGCGTGCTGATCAGCGGCTTGGCCGTCATGGGCGTCCGACCGGACCACGGCTGGGTCGAGCCGGGCCACTACACGCAGCGATACGCGGCCGTCCTCAAGGTCTCGCGCGTCCTGCTCTACAGCCACGCCGTGATCGAACGGGAGGCCCAGATCCGCCGCGCCGTGGCCGAGGGAGCGACGCGGAAGGAGGCCGAGCTGTCGGCGACGGGCTTGCACGATCTTCTCGTCCCGAAGATTAACGCGTACATGGTTCACCCCACCGGCAGCGACACCCGCGCGCCCACGCCGATGTCGTGGATCTTCAAGACGTTCGCGTACGCCAAGACCATCGCCACCACCACCGCGGCCGAGGGGAAGGTGGCCTGGGACGGCGATCGCATCCAGTACCAGACCCTCCAGTTTAGCATGGGCCAGCTGCGCGACATGTTGCACACCCTGGTGAACGAGACGCGCGAACAGATGGGCGAGCTGCTCTTCCTCCCGCGCCACGAAGAGACGGGCGAGCGGGACGGCTTCCCCGCCATCCCCTGGGGCCACCTGCGCGACGACGCGGCCGAATGGCGGATCGGCCACTCCTTCGTTCGAGACCCGAGAAACCCGTGGACCTTGGACGGCCGGACCGCCCTCCTTTCCCAAGTCACCACCGACCCCGCCCTCCAAAAGGCTTGGTTAGGGAATCGGTCCGACCTCACCCGATCCAAGGCGTCCGACGCCTACCGCGCGCTCGCGGACGAGTTTCGCGGACGGCTCCTCGTGCTGATGCACATGACGGGCGGCCAGCCGGCGCGGAGCACCGAGCTGCTCGGGTTGCGGGTCTGCAATACGAAGCAGGGCGGCCTCCGCAACGTCTTCGTCGAGCACGACATGGTCGTCTTCGTCGTCGGTTACCACAAGGGGTACCGCCACCTGAACAAGCTCAAGGTGATCCATCGCTACCTACCCCGGGAGGTGGGCGAGCTGGTCGTCTGGTACCTGTGGTTGGTCTTGCCGTTCTGGCAGCAGATCGAGATGTCGATGAAAAGGGCCAACCAGTGCAGCCCGTACCTGTGGTCGCGGGACGTCGTCGGCGGGTTCGACGAGGAAGAAGCCGGACAAGATCCGCAGCGGGATCTTTATTACGAGCAGGACGTGGCGCAGGATATGGAGGAGGAAGAAGACGAGGAAGGCATGGTCGGGTACCGGGCCGCCGAGTTTCGATCGTGGCCGCCGGATCGGGTGAAACGGCTCCTGCAGCAGCACGGCCGCCGCTTGCTCGGCGTGGACCTGACCATCAGCTCGTGGCGGCACATCTGCATCGCCATCTCGCGCCGGTACCTATACGGGGCCTTTGGGAACGGGGACGAGGACGAGGAAGGCGGGGGGGTGGAGGACGAGGGAGGGGGCGATCACGTGCTCGACGAGCAGGCGGGACACAGCAGCCATACGGCCCAGGTCGTGTACACCCGCCTCGTCGTCTTTGGCGACCAAGGCACGGAGCGTCGTCAGGACCGCTTTCGCGTCATCAGCCTACGCTGGCACCGGTTCTTGGGGCTCGGCACGCGCGACCACGTCACGCTGAACGACCAGCGGCTCGAGTCCCTCCGCGATGTGGGCGAGCAAGGCCGGGCGAGGCGTTTCGAACGGCTGTGCCGGACCGACCTCCTCAGCCGGTTCCGCCTCATGACGCACGACGACGACGCCGCCTTTCGCCCGGGTCAGTTCGAGGTGCTGCAGGCGATCGTCCAAGGTCACTCGCCCATCGTGCAGGTCCAAGGCACGGGCGGCGGGAAGAGCCTGTCGTTCATGCTGCCGGCCTACTGCGCGCCCGACGGCATTACCTTGGTCGTCATGCCGCTGGTCGCGCTGCGGAAGGATATGCAACGACGCTGCCAGGTCGCGGGCATCCGCACGTTCGTGTACCGAGCGTCCGCCCCGACCGACAGCGACGTGTCGATCGTCTTCGTCACGCCCGAGACCCTGACGAGCAAGTCCTTCCAGACCTACCTGGCCCGCCTGCAGCAGAGCCGCTCGCTGGATCGGATCGTGGTGGACGAGTGCCACATGGTGTTGGACGTGCTGTACGCGGCCCGGAACAAGAAGACCCGGTTCCGCGAAGGCTTCGTCGAGATCGGCGGCATCCTCGAGCAGACGGGCGTGCAGCTGGTCTTCCTGACCGCCACCCTGCCGCTGCAGGACGAAACCAACTTCTACCGCGCCATGAAGCTGCGGCCGTACGAGGTCGAGCTGTTTCGACGACCCACCACGCGCGCTAACCTACGTTATCACGTGCGCATGTTCGACCCGTCGGCGGGTCCCTCCTCACGTGCCGCGGGGTCGTCCCCCAGCGAAGAAGAAATCCGTCGGGCGCTCGTGGCCGAGGTTGTGGTGGAGCTGCTGGCCACGTACGAGCGGGGGAAGGTGATCGTGTACTGCGGTACGGTAGGGAGGACGAAGGCGGTGGGCGAACAGCTGGGCTGTTCGATGTATTATAGCGGGGTAGGATCGGACGAGCAAAAAGCTCGTATCGTAGAGGATTGGATTACGGGGGCATTGGGGTCCAGGGTGATCGCGGCAACGAACGCACTAGGAGCCGGTCTAGATGTTCCTGACATCCGCGCGGTGGTGCATGCCGACGCGCCCTATCGTCTCAGCGACTTTGCGCAGGAGAGCGGTCGAGCCGGGAGGGATGGCGCCCCTGCCGACTCGATCGTGCTCTGCCGACGCATCGTGCGAGACGAGGGGTCGAACGCGCGGGCGCAGGCGCCGCCGAAGTACGCTACCAGCAAGCAGCTGAAGCGAAGGCGTACGTTGGCGAGCGCCGCACCGCGGGAGCAGGCGATGACGGACTACCTGGCGAACGCTCGTTGTCGGCGCGTGATCCTGGACGAGGTGATGGACGGGCGGGGGGATCGGGTGTGTTGCGAATCGGACGAGGTACGGTGTGACCAGTGCGGGCGAGGTCTCGTTTCCGTTCCCGATGCAATCTTGATCGGGGATTCCGAAGAAGATCCGGCATTCGGTTTCGACGATAGCTTTCGCACTATCGACGGGGACCATGATCTAGGGAATAAGGGCGTGGAAAACATAAACGGGGATACTATAGACGGGAATCATGATCCAGGGAATAAGGGCGTGGAAAACATAAACGGGGATACTATCGACGGGGACCATGATCCAGGGAATAAGGGCGTGGAAAACATAAACGAGGATACTATAGACGGGAATCATATAAACGGAAATCACATAGACGGGGATAACATCGACCGGCGGGATAAAGTCATATATATCGATTTAGCTCCCGGAGGCAATAAACCGGGGGTGGGCGTGGAGGCGCAGCTAATTCAAGCCCGGCGAGGTCGGATGCGAGACAGCGCCGAGTGGGAACGGTTCTGCCGCCTCATCGCCGACCTCTCCGACGCCTGCGAGCTATGCTTCGCCCTCGGCTACTCGGAGAAAGGATCGTCCGACCACGACCCAAGTCCCGCCCACGCCGCGTCCTCGTGTCCCCACTACCACAGCGAGAAAGGGGTGACCTTCCGCGAGGAGACGGAACGCTTCCGCCGCGAGATCTTCGAGAAGAAGCGGTTGCAACCCTTCTCCGGCTGTTTCTGGTGCGGCCTCCCCCAGGACCTCTGTGCGAAGTGGGAAGCGAACGAGGGGGACCGCGGCACGTACCGACGCACGGGGCGGTCGTGTCAGTACCCCGACGAGCTGGTCCAGCTGCTCGCCATGTTTCGCCTACGCTTCCCGGGCGTCTTTTGGAAGAAGGTTAGGAACTGGAAGCAAAACGACGTCTGGGGCGCGAAGGAGGAGGATTTATATGTATGGTTGGGCCGGCGGGTTCGATGGAACGGCTGCGAAACTAATAATCTCTGCCGAGTAATCGCTTCTTTAGGGGTTTAGGAATAGGTACTATCTTTTCGTGGTCGGAACTCGTTTCGTATTCTTGCTGGTGTCTGTCGTAGCGAACTGGTGATTGTCGTAGCGAACTGGTGACTGCCGCGGGTCGATGAACCGGCACGTATGGTTCGACCTACGACCGTATCGACTTTTTCGTGCCTGTAGCCATGCTGTCTATTCCCTTGGCCGGTCTAGCTCATCGGTTCGTGTGGCAGGATCTCGTACGGAGGCTTTGTCGTGTTTCGGGTCGCGAGGTAGTGACGGTTTCGTTTGTCGGTCTCGAATGGATTCTCTTCGGTGCTTGTCGGTCGGGACCCTCCACGTCCGTAGCCAGATGCATGGCCGTATCCCATCTCTTCGATTCTGGTTGCCGCGGTGGAAGGACGGTTGCGTTAGTAGGTCTTAATAAAGAGAGGGTTGTGGGAAAACAGGTAAACGTTTGTGTGGAAGACGTTAGTGGCGGTCTCAAGAAACGGGGTAATGGCGGGATAGATACGATTCCATCCTTAGCCTTACTACCTTTAATTCTAACTATCTCCTTTCTTCGTTTTGATTTTACCTAATAGGGAATGATGCTTCGCGATAGTGCTAAGGGGGTGTAACGTGCGAAAGGCTGCAAGGGGCGCGCCAGCCCTTCGTAAACTCAAGGCACTCACGCATCACTAGTTCTATGTCTTTTGCCTAAAGTTCAGTAATCAAGAATTGATGATTAATAATAAGTCGCGAGAACCCATCTCGTAATGAACAGATTCGAGGGTACGGCAATCCCGGGGCATGCACGAAGCGATTACAAATCGCAGCTCCGTTGCGTCAAATGTCGTGATAGCGTCGCAAGCTTAGGTCAAACGTCAGGGCGAGATGTAAGTCGCCCGACACTGCGGGGTTGGTGCACGGCTTTCTCAGCAAACCCATTATTAATAGCGCCCGTCATGCTCCGCTAACTAAACCACCGCGATTGCTTATTCCCGGTCGCGTTGTCCAAGTATATAAGTCGTCATTATATCTCCTCATCGTCGTCTCCAAATTGAACTTGATATCGTGCGCGATTCTACCTTGTTTCCTATTCACTTCGGCTGATTCGGTTGAGTCCATAATCTTTAGTCACATCAAACTATTTCTTTATAAATTATGGCGTCCAAGTTCTACGCAGTCATCGTCGGAGCCGGCGGAGGCACCGGTGAGCTGCTCTACCCCACAACCTATCGCAATGCACCTATCACGATATACAGCAACAGTTGTACTTGGCTGGGAACAAATGCGTATAACTTGTAATTTCAACTGACACAAATATAAATTGCAGGTGCTTCTGTAGCAGCTAGATTCGCAAAGGCGTATCCAGTAGTGCTTCTGGCGCGAACAGCCGCGACCTATGAGGGCAGTGTAAAGGCAATCAATGAGGCAGGCGGTAAAGCCATCGGCATCAATGCCGACGCAACAGACCGGGTCTCTCTGGATGCCGCCTTTGAAACCATCGCCAAGGAACTGCCGGACCACAAGCTGACTGCCGCTATCTACAACGCCTCGGGAGGTCTCAAGCCTACGCCCTTCGTCGAGATTGACCCCCAAGTTCTGGAAGACAGCATCGATGTGAATATGTATGTGACTAAGCGCTGTTCACTCATCCTCTCCTCTCCCTCCACATCAATTTCTCCGTACTAGTGTACATCCTTCGGGAACAGTTGTCTGACCCATGAATAAATAGCCGAGGCTTCTTCAACTTTGCGCAAAAGACTCTCCCATTACTCGAGGACGCCGTGAGCTCCTCTCCACACCCGCCGTCGCTCATCGTAACAGGCGCCACAGCCTCGGTGAAGGGATCCGCCAGATTCGCTACCTTCGCTGCAGGAAAGTGGGCAAAGAGGGCGCTGGCGCAGTCTATTGCCCGCGAGTACGGGCCTAAAGGCGTACACGTTGCGCACGCCATCATCGACGGCGTCATCACTGGGCCCAGGACTGAGGCGTACACTAGTGTTAACGGCGGTGCGCCCGACGGCAAGATCAGCGCTGATTCGGTAAGTTTCAACTCTCTCACATACGAAATGGATAATCCGTGGACTACTTGCTAATGCTTGCTTGTCAGATTGCTGAGACTTATTGGAGCTTGCACACGCAGCATCGCTCGGGATTCACCTGGGAGGTTGATATTCGACCCTACGTTGAGAAGTGGTAAATATGTAATGATCCATGAATAGTCCTGATGAGTATTTAAGAATGACCAAGTTCATCTACGTATATCGTTTACTCCCAACTAGTAAATCGTAATTTACGTCTGTCCATGCGAGGACGCGGAAGCGTAATCTTATTGGCAGAGTCTCAATAGCCGCCGCTGCAAGTCTGTAATCTCGAAGTGACTTGTTTGGTTGGTATTATCTTACACGTAGAGCTTAACCCGGTCAGGGATTATAAGCTTTGTAAAGATTGGAAGTTTTGAATACGGTTTTACCAGTGAGAGGGACATCTTTTAAGAAGTCTGGCAGAAAGGCAACCACTTATGTACCTAGGTATAGCTAGGTACTTATAGCGAACTTTTTGCTCTTTTAGGCAAGGCGAGATATATATTTGGGTTAAGGTATATCTTTGGTATTAGCTTATTTTACTTCGGTGGGAGGTGATTTTATACCTATTAAAACAAGTAACGGAACTATTAGGAAGCAGTTATATAAATGTTAATTGTATTTAAATAAAATTTATTAAATATAATAAACTTACTTAAGTGCTTTAGGTAAAATTAACGCCGTATACGTTTCCAAAATGAATTTGGGTCCCGTTCCTGAAGTTATTGTTCGATACGGTGTTCTGATTCTGCGGCGCTGAAACAGCCTGATTGAGAACAGTCTCAACAAATACACCACTATCTAATGGGGCGTACCGGTCCAGGACGGCCCTCGTAACTGCTGCTGCCGTGATGGCAGCGAAATCCTGCCAGCGCTTGTTCTTGTGGCTGTCAGCGTAGTCACAGATCCCCTTAATAACGATGCACGGGACCTCTTCCCACGCGCCGGCAGCTTCCATCTCAAATACAATTAGCTGATGCTGTTTAGCGAGCGCATCGCGGTGGGTACCAGACTTCATGACTGCATCACCTGACCCAATGCGTCCGACGAAGATGGCCGGAGCCTGCGCCTCCTCGGGTGCCATATTCCATAAATTCACGAACCTTTGATATGCTATAAAAATCATTATCGCGATCAGCATATCGCATATCCTCCTTCGTCCAACCTGGCGTTCCTTGCTTCCAACCAAGCTCCTCGCCTGGTCGCCTAGAAGAGTCGAAATCAATAATGATAGGATCATCACCGTCCATCATAATGTTATGTGGACTCAAATCATTATGAATAAAACCAAGAGTGTGCAAATGGCGAACTCCACTTTCGATCCCCTTCATACAACGGTCAATATCGACAACTTCACCCATTCTCAGTTTCTGAGCGAGAGTCATAGAATACTCCACAAAGCAAAGGCCTTTTACCACACCATCTTCCACAACACATCCTAGGATATTTCACGATGTTCGGGTGCGGATGTGCCATGAGAATCTGGCACACTTCCGCCTCGATTAGAAGCTGATTGCCAAGTTGTGTGGACGTGGCTGGGTTGAAATCCAGGAGACTTGGCTTCTTGACGTAGGTATTCGGAGGCAGCTTGGAAGGTGCTTGGGTTAATTTTGGATCCCAGCTGGGCCAAATCTTGTTGACTGGTATTTCCAACAAATTCGCTTCGTCGAGGTTGATTTCAGAATGGGGCTGAAGTCGGTAAGGGCTTTGAGCGTAGAAAACTTTACCGTGTTGCTTGACAATGATGCTCGTGTAGTCAAATTCATAGTCACTGCCCTTCTCAGTGAAGACTTCCGCTTGCTCGAGGATTTCCATTATGTAAATAGGCGTACTATGTAGCAGCGAATACCTAACTTGGTATGGTTTGCAAAGGATTACAAATCAAATAAGTTAGGAGGTAGGTAACTGTACAAAACAGATGGACCTCCCCCCACTTTCCCCATGCAAATACCTAGCCTCCGCGCTAGACCCCAAGCCCCAAGCCCCAAACCCCCACGCCTCCAGACCTTGTAGGGCTGGGCGTGGCCCACTACTAGAAAACATCTCCTAATACAATATCAAATTACCACCCATCTACAACCTCCAAATAACCATCTTGGTATTCATCATTTGCGTTCCGCACATTTAACGCCTTTAGGATTGCCGCCTCATGCGTAACAAACACCTCCCATTGTGAAGCAAGTAGTTTAAAGTCAATGTCGAAGTTCCGTTGTTGAGAGCATGTGATGCTTGTCAGATAGATTGGCGCCGAGTCCACGACTTCCGTTCATCACTATCGGACGTTGCAAAGTTTCACATGCCAATCATCAGCCCTTCTCCGCATCATTATAAAATAGATACCATTGAAAGCGCAGACAACCAAGTTGGTATTTTGACTACCCAATGCAAAAGCTCTTTGGCAACACTATACGGCTCGTAAAGCTCCAACCTACGGTATTATTGCAAACTGATTGAGGCGCATCATTTCGGAAGCAGATACACCATGAAAACCTTAAATGCCGCAGCTGAATCCCGAGCGGGAGGGGTTCCTGGGGCCGGAATGGGGAACGGGATGGAGAACGGGAAATCGGAAAACGGCGAGTGGTAGATCTAAGATGGCTTTTACGAATAACAACACTCTCTACCGTACCCATTCTCACAGCTTCCGAACGGAATTTACCCAATTCGAGCGCATATGAGGTCCATACTTAGGCTGTGGTCCAAGTCGCCGCGGTCAATACAAGATCCTCCGGGTAATCAAGGGCATACGTCCTTCGTTGTAACATTCCGCAGATAGTCCACGGCGCGTGTCAATAGTGGCAGGCCCAGAGCCGGCAGCAGGCCTCTATTAAATACCTGCTCGACTTCCATTACCAACATGATGTACAGCCCATACTTCTGTCCCCAAGGACCGTCCGGATTGCAAACTGGATCTGTCCGGTTCAACACTATTCTTCTACAGCACCTGCAGCTTCTTTGTTACAGCATCACAGCCGACCTCAAAGTGTCCGATATGCAGCGACAACTCCGCTTCATCGTGGCCCTGGCCTTCCTAATGCTAGTGCGCCTCGACCTCGCCGTCGCTGACAAGTCGGCAGGATGTGGCAACGATCCGAAGATAGGTTCCCAGACATACACAATGACGGTTAACGGGAAATCGAGGCAGTATATCATGAAGCTTCCCGACAACTATGACAAGACGCACCCCTACTGGCTCGTTTTCCTGTGGCACCCGCTTGGCGGCACCGCAACCAGGATTGTGCAAGGGGAGGACCCCAACCGTGGCGGTATATTGCCTTACTACGGCCTGTCGCCGCTAGCCAACAATAGCGCCATCTTCGTGGTGCCCAACGGTCTCAACAACGGCTGGGGTAATGCCGGCGGCGAGGACCTGACCTTCTTTGACGAGATGGTCAAGACCGTCGAAGCTGATCTCTGCGTTGACACCAACCTGCGTTTCTCGACAGGTTTCAGCTATGGCGGCGCGATGTCCTTCGCACTGGCCTGCGCGCGTCCTAAGATTATCCGAGCTGTGGCCGTACTTTCAGGTGGTCTACTCAGCGGGTGCGTGGGTGGGACGGACCCGGTACCCTACTATGCGCAGCACGGCACGTCGGACTCGGTGCTCAATGTGGCGGGCGGGCGGTCGATGCGCGATCGGTTCGTCAAAAATAACGGTTGCACACCCGTGTCGCCCGATCCAGCGCCTAACGGTGCCCAGTCCGTTAAGACGGTATACAAGAATTGCAAGGATGGATTTCCCGTCACGTGGGTAATTCATAAGGGCGATCACAACCCGTCCGAGGCCGACGGCGGGTCGTCCACCCCGTTTGCGCCGCTTAACACATGGGAATTCTTCTCGCAGTTCACCCCGACCCCTGTATGAATGACGGAAGCTTCCGGCCCATATCAAGATGGTGGTGATGATCGCGGTGGCGAGGAGGTCATGGTCAGAACTTAGGACGTGACCGGAGACAGTATAAATTAGGTACCTAGCATGCTCTAATTAAATAGACATGTGGTACAACATCTATTATGATAATTCTTTTCGATAACTTTTGTCGAGTGAAGTTTTCATTCGCGTCAAGTCTCCCAGTTGGGCTGAAGACCGGGTCGAAAAGGTGCATATATCCGAAGACAGATGAAGAAGCCCTCGTTTCATCAATACGTGGTGCGTAGCGAATGCCCCATGTTAAATGACGACTACGCTCTACACTTATTGTCAGCATAGACTTTTACATCTTTACTCTGGGGCCACGTAGTACTTAAACTCTGAGTCGCTTCAAGAGCATGCCTCATCGAACAAGTCTGTGAGGCAATCCGCTGCGCTACAAATGATATATCATTGATAAGATTTGGACAGAGTTTCGTAAAGTTATTAATTTATTATAGTTGGCGGGGGTAAAAATTCCTCGAAGCATATACTAAAAGAATTCCCGTACTGCCCGGCTAGAGAACTCATGCTGCAAGGCTCAAAGTTCGCGACAGGCTGACCCACGCCTATCTTCAAATCGCAACTCGTTCGGATCGGCGAATTCGTAAGTCAACTACAAACTCGACCTGACTCGGGTAAATCCTAATTTTTCAATATTCGCCGAGTCGAATAAATCTTTTTTTATTTTTCGGTGAGATGTCTTGGGTAAATAGCTGTCGTAAATACTCTAGCTAAGCGTGCGACCGAGCGCGGCGGGCGTATGATACAGCCAACCGAGCCTCACATTCGAGTTTATCAGATTTGGCTCGGCATAAGGCGCATACATGGGGTTATCCGTCTCGGCTGGACTCGCGGTCCTCCCTGATTAGGATCGAATACGTCGTGCCTGTGCACTCGCGCGAAGGCAGGACTTCGCGGAGGGAATTTCTGATGCGACGCGTTCCAAATCAAGTCTTCATGTGATGTCGGACCTCGAGATTCGCGTAGGGGCGAGGTTACGTAGCGTGAACCTTACCCGTTAATTAATTTACGGCTGACGCGGCCCGGAACCAGAGGTTTTTAGCCCCAAAGAGCCTATCCTCCCCCCCTTTCCCCCCGGGAAAATGCCACGCTGCTCGCTTAAACATAGAAGATCTTGGGCGCAACCAGCCAAGAGCCGAGGAGCTGCCGTAGGCCAAGATGGGACGAGAGATCGACCCCTTGCCGGCGTAGAACGCTGTGGGGAAGCCCTTCGAACCCCTTTTCGTATCCTCCTCCGTCCGTTTCCAGATCTGGCATCTTCGACGTCTCATGGGCGGCCCGGACGCTTGGCGGGGTTCCGACACGCTTCGGACGTGGCGTATAAGACTCGAAGGGGCCCGCGAGGGCTTGGGTCGGCCTCGCTGCTCCGCACGCATCAAGTTCGGTTCCCAACCATGAGGTTATCCATCTTCGCCGCGGCTCTCTCTACGGCCTCCGCGGCCGCGACCCTCGACTGGGCCGCAGCCTACAAAAAGGCCAACGCTTCTCTAGCTAAGCTGTCCCAGAACGACAAGGTCAACATCGTTACCGGCGTGGGCTGGAACAAAGGGCCCTGCGTCGGCAACACGGCCCCGGCGAACTCCATAGGCTATCCCCAGCTGTGCTTGCAGGACGGACCGTTAGGTGTCCGATTCGCCACGGGAAACAACGCCTTCGTCCCGGGAATCCAGGTCGCGGCGACTTGGGATCGCGCCTTGATGAGGGAGCGGGGACAGTTTATGGCTGAGGAGTTCAAGGGGTGCGGCGTTCACGTCTTGCTCGGCCCCGTCGCCGGTCCTCTAGGGAAGAATCCTGTGGGCGGACGTAATTGGGAGGGGTTCGGCGCCGACCCTTACTTGCAAGGCATCGCCATGGCGGAGACGATCGAGGGCATGCAGAGCGCCGGTGTCCAAGCTAACGCGAAGCATTACATCCTCAACGAGCAGGAGCTCAACCGCGAAACCATAAGCTCGAACGTGGACGACCGCGCGCTACACGAGCTGTACCTCTGGCCCTTCGCAGACGCGGTCCACGCCAACGTCGCGTCCGTCATGTGTTCGTATAATAAGGTTAACGGGACCTGGACCTGCGAGAAGTGAGTCTTTTCCCTTTACAAGCTTCGCTTCGAGAGATTCAGCAACCGCTCGGTTCAACGACTAACGGCTAACGACTAACGATCACGCAGCCCGTACGTTCTAGACACGCTCCTGAAAAAGGAGCTGGGTTTTCAGGGCTACATTATGACGGACTGGAACGCGCAGCACTCTACGGTCGAAGCTGCGACTTCCGGGCTGGATATGACCATGCCCGGAACCGATTTCAACGGCGGCTCCCAATACTGGGGCTCGAAGCTGACCCAAGCCGTGAGCAGCGGTCAGGTTCCACAGTCGCGTCTCGACGACATGGTACGCCGCGTCCTAGCGGCGTGGTACTTGCTTGGCCAGGATAGCGGCTATCCTGCGACCAATCTGAAAGCTAACGTGCAAGGAACTCACAAGACGAACATCCGCGCTACAGCGAGGGATGGGATCGTCCTCCTGAAGAACGAAGACGGTATCCTTCCTCTCAAAAAGCCCAAGAAGCTCGGTCTGGTCGGCTCCGCCGCTGTTGCTAATCCCCAGGGAATCAACTCGTGTGTCGATCAGGGATGCAACACAGGTGCTCTGGGAATGGGCTGGGGCTCCGGAACTGCTTCGTATCCCTATTTCAGCGCTCCCGCCGATGCTATCAAAACCAGGGCCCAGACCGACGGGACGCAGATAGGCCTGTCCGCGTCTGACAGCACCAGCTCTTTCCGTTCGGCCATAGACGGGGCTGACGCCGCTATCGTGTTCATCACCTCTGACAGCGGCGAGGGATATATCACGGTGGAAAACAACGTGGGCGATCGGAACAATCTCGATCCTTGGCACAACGGCAACGATCTCGTCAAGGCCGTGGCGGCCACGAGCAAAAACGTGATAGTCGTGGTGCACTCCGTCGGCCCCGTCATCCTCGAGACCATCTTGGCGCAGCCCAACGTCAAGGCGATCGTCTGGGCCGGTCTCCCCTCTCAGGAGAACGGAAACGCGCTCGTGGACGTGCTCTACGGAGACGCGGCCCCTTCGGGCAAGCTGCCGTACACGATCGCCAAGTCCGCCGCGGATTACGGTACCAGTAGCGTCCGAGGAAACGACGATTTCAAGGAGGGGCTGTACGTCGATTACCGCAGATTTGATAAAGAAGGCATCACGCCTAGATATGAATTTGGGTTTGGTTTATGTAGGTTGCATCTTCATCCCCATCCTCGTCTTTTCTCATTCTCGGATGTTAACTTGGCTAAACATTACGCAGCATACACCAACTTCACTTATTCCAACATCTTCGTCGATGGGCGACCAACAGCCGGCCCCGCCACGGGAGATATCATCCCCGGAGGCCACGCCGACCTCTGGGAGACCGTCGTAACCGTCACAGCCACGATTACTAACTCAGGAGCCGTCCGGGGCTCCGAAGTAGCTCAGTTATACATAAGCTACCCGGAGTCCGCGACTGCACCTCCGAAGCAGCTTCGAGGATTCGAAAAGCTGGCCCTGGAGCCTGGCGCGGAGGATATCGTCGCCTTTGATATCAAGAGGAGAGACCTGAGCGTCTGGGATACGGCTAAGAAGAGCTGGGTAGTTCCTTCAGGCATCTTCAACTTCACTGTCGGCGCGAGCAGCCGCGATCTTAGACTAAGTGATACGCTCGAAGTGCCGTGATATGGGGAAGACAAAGTGTCTTTAGCAGATTCGTACCTACCTAATATATAGTTACATGTCGATAGAGACGGGCGCTAATAAGCATTCTGCTCCTCGTGAAAACACGTGTATCTCGTGAACAGTACTTTGTAGACGTGCTTGTAGGAACAGGATGGCGAAGCGTGCTTCCGCGCCGTTCTACACGGGAACTAAGCTCCCAGAGCTGTCTCAGATGGATGCAAATAAAAATGAACAGCCTGGAAGAGATGAAATTGTCCGCTGTAGGTGAAACTAGGAGAAATTTACGTACGGAACGAGTTGCAGTAGGTAATGCTGGTAGAAAACAGACAAGACCAAAAATCTAGTGCTAGGCGAAGACGAGAATGCCAGTTGGATGACTCGTCATAGGTCGTCAGGATCACAACGATTATTGAAAACGGGAGGTGAGTTGCTCTTGTCGTCATTGAGGCAACTAGGAGCCGTGAAATACTCCTCGGAATCCGAGGACATCATAGAGTCGGAGTCATCCAGCTCTCTCCTTCTGCTCTTGCGTAGGATCGCACTTTGATGTGCATCAGTTAGGTACGAAGTAGCTTGGGGAGGCACCAAGAGCTAGGATTCTACTTACGAGTGATTTATTCCGCTCATCGGAACGAGCGTTTCCAAAAGCGATGTCCTAACATAGCCGAGTTAGACAGCAAAGGAAGATATGAAGCAGCTATTACTTATCAAGTCCTGGTTCTGCTGAACCATCGAAGCGCGGACGGGGCCTCACGAGTTTGGGAAATATACGAACTCAAATTAGATATTAAATAAGAAACAGCAGCGGGAAAGCAAAATTACTTACACTTAATGGTTTGCGCTAATCGGTAATCTGCCGAGTCCACGTTAGACGCGAGGCTAATCATGGAAGCGACAGACACTCACCAGAACATAGCCGATCACGCCACACCGTACCACTCCCAGTACTTATCCAAGATTGTGAACATTGTATCTCTTCACAGTGACGCCCGAGCCACGCATAGATGTGTACCTAGTACGTGAAGAGCACTATTGATATCCTTAAGAGCGCTACATCCAGTACGTCCGCTCCATCGCTCAGGCTACAGATATCACTGAACTGAATTGAGGTTGATCCAGACTCTCAAGGCGGTAAATAGAAATAAATCGCATATTAAAGATAGCCTTTAACGTATCTTGTGTCTAGATGTATCAAGCAGTAGAGAAACAACTGCATTGTTCACGAGGATTCCACCTAGCCATGTGAATCAGTAGGTTAGTCGTGACGTCCGTCCTTAGACAGCGGCTTTTACCAGCCAGTTTTTAGCTTATTTCGACTGTTGGACTAGTTCGTCTGTTCATACAGGACTAGTCTCATCTTAACATTGCTTGTGGGAAATCCTATGTTTGCTGGCTTCGAATATTGTACAGCAAAAGCTCAATGCTTGTAATTCATTAGATGACCTACAGCACTCTTTCCAGTCCGTCGCATCTCTGTATTATCTTCTTGCTCTCCTCTCTCCCTCGTCATTCTCTCTCTGCTTCTTTATTTCGTGGGCATTCCAAAGGTTTTGCTCCTTCTAGCACTGCCAGAAAGTCTGGTACGCTCTTATTTGATACGAAACACTCTCTGCGTCCTTTGGCTCGCTCAATACCTTTGATATACGCCGCGATTGTCACAAGAAGCTCCCCGTACTCCTGAATTCGATTATCGCCTATATAGGACTTCATTCAAACGTTTAAAGGCGGCGAGAGTTTCGTGATTTCTTTTTCCTTTCTAAATTACCCCTTTTTAGCAGCGTCATAACAAGAGACTTGATCTTGTGACAAAATGGTGACAGGGCCCTGTAGCCGCTTTAGGAGAGTCATTAATAGCTTATTGAATTTAATTAAGTCAGGTGCCTACATCAAAGACAAGTGCGTGTTGTTCCTGAAGATATACGTTCGGGCGCAATATTACTTTTTATCAATGTCCAGAGTCTACTTCAAAGTTTTTGAAACAGAGCTGGTTAATGTTATAAACATCGGCCAACCTTTGTACATCACCTGATTTCGCTTCTGAAAGCTTGTCTTACAGTCACGATTGAGATTGCTCGGCGGAGTTTTAACTACGAAGCGGCCAGGACGCATCTGAGTCTATATGGGCATAATCTAGCTAGCTAGATGTAAATTTCAGCCCAGAATCCATATCATATCCCTATAAGTCTCTGAAATATCGTCAGAGGTCGATAGAAGCTTGTATGATCATGGGGATAGATCCACGGTATGACAGCATATAACGGGCACAGCACTGACATAACGGAACAGAAGGGCAAGCATTCAATATGATATGAAAAATAACTAGGTGAAAAGCGTTTTCAGCAGGAATTTACATTGTCTTCAGATGCCTAACGATGTCCTTCATAGGAAGCAACAAGTTCCCAAACGTTTCACAAGCTATCATGATTAATTGAGAAGAATAGATCTGGTCTATTTGAAGCCGAGATCGATCCGCCCAAAATTTCTATAACCACAAAAGGTTGCGGAAACCTGTGTATGAACCTATTTCAACTTACGAGCCTTGTATGAAACAGTTATATCAACTTAAACCACCTCCCATGTCTCCTTTGCGGGTTATTCTTTATTATTCGTCTCTATGTTCCCTTCGGTTCAGCCTTAATGCATCTTACCGGAAAAGAGAATTTGCTGTTCGAGGGGATACCTTTGAAACTCAAGATATATTTTCTTTCGCTAATAACAGAGTCCCTTTCTAGCATTGTTTTATCCGAAACCTCGTACAAATGCAGAGCTTGTCTAAAGTCTAGTCCTGATCACTCCTGCGCAGATCATTGATTTTACTTCCTACTATTCTATGCCTGCCCCCGACTCCTCGAAGGATAGTTTAGCGTAACGGGGCGGCGTGATGAAAGTAACGCTTGAAACAAAATCCAATGCTTCAAAACCCCGTCTTCCATTACTGGCGCCTATTTCTATAAATAAATAAGCACACTACTGCTAAAGCACGCTGCTAAGAATCCCGAAGCGGTCACGCGCTTCTGTATTATATGTTGCTTAAGCAGCCGTTGAAGAATTCGTTGGGAGCCCCGAAGCCGCACGGGATTATAGCCCGCGCTATTGTACAGGGTTAGCTGCTCGTCCCGAGGTTTCCATGCCCCAAATCACCAGGTTCGTGGTACACGAGACGTAGAAGTAGGCACAGTCCAGACGCTCTCATACATGACGTATAAAGAAAAGAAAAACGAGACGCATTACAGCTCTCCCGTAGGTAAAAAGATGACAAAGTACATACGATACCATCGTCGCAATAGTGTTTGGCGCGAAGTTATACGACATTCCGCTTGCTTGGACTTTAATGGAGCTTAGTATAGCTTTGTTCTTTTCTTCCTGTACCGAGATGTAAACCCTAACGCTTAAAAGGGGTCTTTGGAAACCGCCTAGCAGCCAATGAGGCATTTGCTTCAAGAGACCGTCCTCTGTGGCGCAATTGGCTAGCGCGTCGTAAGTCTAATTCATGAGACGGAGCCTGGTTCATTCATTACTAACAAACATGATAGTGACTGTTAATCAGGAGGTTGGAAGTTCGAGCCTTCCCGGGGGAGATGACCTTTTTTTTTCGCCTCGAATCTGGAAAAGCCAGTTCTTTTATTCTTTCACTCTCCAGACATATCACTTTGAAAAGGCCTCCGTTCAACGCGCTACAAGTGCTAATATTTATCTTGTGCTTAGAATCATCTCTGGCCGTTAGTTATGAGTGTTGATTTGGGAATTTATAGATCATCTACCGTCTTGTGCCTGTGTTAGTTAGGGCTTGTTTATCCCGCAGTGGGTCGTGAGGCTTCATGGATTTTTGGTAACTAACACGAACTTCTAGCCTCACCGCATCAGCTTTGAGATGAATATCTACCGTAGGTACTTTAGGAGGTAGGTACCTAGAGGTAGATGATCGATATATTCCAATAAATTACTTTACGCCACCAAACTCTTAGTTAAAGTCACGAAGTATAAGAGTTTCCGTGCCGTAATTGAAATTTATAGTTCCATCTGTATAATTGTACATAGTACCTAGGTAGGTATGCTTGAGTTCTTGACGGTAAAGAAATTATTTCTGCAATTTTTCATTCTACCTTGGCCAGTGTCGCATGGAATTTTCGTAGTTCCATAACAGATATCCACGATGTTCTTTCACTTCAACAAAACTCGTTACTAAGGCCATACGAACTCGTAGTCTTCGTGTCAAGCTCTATGCTTGGAATCCAATCCTCGGCTATCATGCCGTATGCAGTATATATCAATGGCGGAGGCTTCTACAGAGTGATGGATAATAAGCGTTTTCTCACCACTCCAGCGGCATTTATTACAGGTAGCAAAAATATAAGAAAATAAAATTATGTCACCTGGGACCCAGAACCACCCAAGGTCAAGTTCCCATGGGTTTAGGCACATAACCCCCTCCACTAGAGGTTAGAAATTGGACTAAGATCGTAGTGCGTAAGTCCGTAGACGCGCTTATACTCTAGCGTGTAGATAACCTACCCGGAATTACGATATGATGCAAGCCATTCCGGTTAGAGAGGCACTAGAATAGCTAGCGTCTTTTAGCTGAACGTACTATGTAAGAATGAGATAGGTAGAAGCTGAGAAAAGTGACTATTTGGCAGCGTTCGAACCTCGAAGAACATGACAAAAGCCTCGAGGACAATTCCATGCGTCTTGACTCTTATGTCCTCAAGTCCGAGAAAGGCACAACTATATAACTCTGACTTGGAAATAGTTCGAAGAGGTTCAACAAACCGAATTTGTGGTCAATGTATTTGTGCCCTCCTCGCACTTGAGGATATACAAAATTCAGGTTCCTATTCAGAACAACTCAACTCAACTCAACCCCATCTTATTAACCTTGGGCTCGTTTATCTTGGTTTAGATTAGGTACTCAGCCGGGATTAACCTAGTAAGCTAAAAAGGCATCACGAAGGACGTATGTATAGTGAACGATTACCTAGAAAGAGAATACCTAAGCCTTAGTTTAGGTTAAGCAGATAAAACAAATACAAAATAAATACAATAAAAGTACTCAACGCAGTACAAGAGGCCCGACTCCGTCTGTAGATCCCCCACTATTGACGTCTTCTTGCGCCCCGGGAACCTGGGCGGTCTCAACAAATCTTGCATATATCTAAGAGGTACCAAGGAAATCCTCGGGCTTCCTCCTCAACGCGCCGATATTTATACACGCCTACTTGACTCATCGGGTCCGATGCCTCATAAAGCCCGCATAGCCCACCACCTCTTTGCGACAACAGCAGCAGCAGCAACAACAACAAAGCGCACTCTCTGCTCAACTAGCACGTCTACATTTCAGCGTACCTTTCGGCAGCAAATACGTCTAGGCAGTTTTCCAAGGAGCTATTCGTCCGCAGGCACCGACGGTTGGCGCGCCATGTCTCACTCGGAGATCTCCAAGTATCTCAAGCAGACGCACGACCGCGTGTTCGAGCACAACCGCGCCTGGGCGGAGGAGCAGAGGGAGAGGGACCCCGAGTTCTTCGACAAGCTATCCTCGGGTCAGAACCCGGAGTACTTATGGATAGGATGCAGCGATTCGCGAATCCCGGCTGAGCAGATTACCGGCCTGGGCCCGGGAGAGGCCTTCGTCCACCGTAACATCGCCAACCTGGTCGTCAACACCGACCTGAACGTCATGAGCGTCATCGACTACGCCGTCCGTCACCTGCAGGTCAAGCATATCGTGGTGTGCGGACACTACGGCTGCGGTGGTGTCAAAGCCGCCATGACGCCCAAGGACCTGGGACTGCTCAACCCGTGGCTGAGGAACATCCGCGACGTTTACCGCCTGCACGAGAAAGAGCTGGACGGGATCAAGGACGAGAAGGATCGCTACAATCGCCTAGTAGAGATAAGCGTCGTCGAGCAGTGCCGCAACGTCATCAAGACGGCAGCCGTCCAGCAGTCTTACGCCAAGAATCGCTTCCCCGTCGTCCACGGATGGGTATTCGGATTTGAGGACGGATTGCTCAAGGATCTGAAGATCGATCACGAGGAGATGCTACGCAGCATCCAGAAGATTTATAACCTTACGGAGGAATAGTTGGTTTTCGGCGGCAAAAAGGGTCTATGCGTGGCTGTATCATTTTCATTAATTAACTGCTTATAACAGCTCGTGCCCGGCCTGTCTTACCTTCAGAGCATTCCCCTTATATAGTTACATTTACAAAAGAGTCCGTAGAGCCCCGCGGCCATCTGAGTAAATACCGTTCAGCTAGGAATAAAAATAACCGTCCGTCCATTTTATACATGACTCCTTACTCCAGGCTACGACGCGCGTTCTCACATACTTGAAATTCACGTGCTCGAGTTCTTTAGAAGAATATCCAGCCCGTTCGCGTCATCCACCACTTCCCCATTTCCTGGGCCTACCTGTCAACATCGGGGTAAATTTCCTTCACGGGCTCTTGATAATAAACCAGATCCGCCGCGGCATCCTGCCACCTGGAATGGCCGGAATTATGGCCCAGGCAGTCGTAGGAAATCTACGTCCGTGATAATCCTTACCAAGTGAAAAAAAAGCTGTCTAAAACGACTTCTCAGTCCGCGTCGCCGCCGTCAGACTCCCAAAATCCATGCTCGAAGCTTTTGCTTTGTCTAAAGGCGAACCGTTCCCAACTCATGCCTCGTCTAACCTTGACCCCGTCTTTATTCGTCTCGTATCGTCGCGGTTCGAAATCCATCACGGCGCGCCAGTTATGAATCATGCGTCTCCAGTAGCAAGCCTCGGCGGCCGGTGTAAGGTAGCGGTCTCGAAATACTTTCGTCGACTCTTTCGCGATCCGCCGCGCTCGATCGGGATCGGCAGCGAGCCCGTCCATTTGCGCTTTCAAATCTGACCAGTCACGTCCTACTTTGACGTAATTCTAGAGAGGGGGAGAGAGAGGTTAGTCGGATTCCATAAAGGTAGGAAAATCAGGGTGACATACTTGGTGAGGCCCGCTGTCTTTTAGAAGGGGCTGGTAATGGAAGATATAATTCAGCTTGTGAATGACCGGGACGCTCTCGCAATTCTGTAGATACCGCAGCCGCCCGCTCCACGAATTGCCTTCGGTATGCGCGACGTATTTGAAACGACAGAAGTCCTTCATGGCCATGATATTCGAACGATTGTGCCAATCGATGGCCTCGACGTCGCTCCATTCCTGTCCCTTCGAAGCCTCTAGCAAGGCGGTTCGTAGCTTACGGTTCACGGCTAGGCTCCCTCGCCAACATAGCTTGTCTTCCTTATCATTCCACCCGCCGGGGTATTCAGCCTCCACGTCCATCACATCTTCGCGGAACTGCACGTAGGATCCTACGCCGTCGTCGGGATAACTCCATCCGTCGAAGTCGGGCATAACCCATAGCCATTCGTTATCCTCGTCGCGTGCCCAGGTCCATCGGATGCGCTCTTCGTTCTTTTCCCCCTTAGCCGCCCGATCTTCGATATCCATGACGAATTCGACGTTCGGAAGGGATCGGGAATCGGGGATAGCGGCTATGGCGCGATACATGCTTGCAAGAGCTGCGAGGCCTCGGGAGCGATCCGGTTCGCCTTTCTTCTCCTTAATGACGTAGAGTTCGCCATTCGTAATCATAACGTGGAACTCTCCGTGCGAGAGACCTGTATACTCCTTTTTAGCGTCGATATGAACATCGGACTCTTTGACTCGTCTGTTTCGATCGAGAAGGAAATTTCGGGCGCGGTCGAGTTCCTGGTACAGATCGGGAAAAGCTTTCTATAATAGGATGAGCGGGAATGCGCCTCTAATCCTTATAAATGTATTTACCTCGCATTGGCTATCGGAAAGGCCATAATTTAGACTATCCCTCTTCGTATCGAACGTCCAAGCTTCATCATCTGGCGAAAGAGTTATCGTAGGGCTTGGATGCGCGACAGGTTCTTGAAGTGGTTGGCCTATAGGATCTCGGAGAGGCGCCTCGGTAGGTTCACTATTTGAATATTCGTCTGGCTCTTCGAATGACTGCTTGATGGGGATCTCGAATGACGGCCTTACTTTGCCGAAGAATGTGAAGGCGGCTACCAGAAGGATGATCGCTAGAATCGGCCAGCGAAGACGACGCAAACGCGCCATAGAGGGGTCGCCTTGTTGGCTACGCGAAAAGAAAGACTTGCTAGTATACATTGTTAAAAAAAAGAACGAACGTGAAATACGAGTCGGAATAAAGGGTGTATCCAGAACATCGAGGGGTATACGGCCCAAGGCTATGAGGAAATGCGTACCATCAAGACATGAAATAAATGTTAGAAAATCATCACATCGAAGGCGACAAAAGGGAGTCAGTCGCTCATCTTAATAGGCTGTTTGTTCATCGCTTTGTGCTACCAAATCACAACATTAAACCGGTTTCTAGCCCGACATCAGCGAAGGAGGTGTACACAAAGGGGAAAAAAAATAATAATAATTTAAATATGGAGATGTGATAGGAAGTAGATAGCAGCAGAGCTGATATGAGGATGGTATCATTGCGTACAAGCGTAACGCCGAAATTTGAGACCTTAATACCCCTGTCAGCCCTGTTGCCATGCTGCCCTGCTACCCATACTAGGCAAATAAAAAGGGGCACCCTAACTAAGTAGAGCGATCGGGCGCCGGGAATAAAACAGTATAGGTACTCCTAAGATAAGTATACCTAGGTAGTTAAGTACTTAAAGTTTAAGGCTATCAGGCCGTACTACAGATATAGATTTAACCTTTTGCATTTAGATGTTTTATATTTAGTTCTCTACAGGTGTTCATCCGATTCTTCGTCCTTATGTGTTACTAAATTAATTCAATAGTTTCACGCAGGAATATGCATAGGCTCACCGAGCCTATGCTGTTGCTGATTGGTAGGTAGTTGTTCATGGCTTCGCTGAGGGTGGGATGGAGTAGATAAGATAACTGATAAGGCCTGCTGTTGTCTTTTCCCTTTTCTCCTAACCCCAAGCCCCAGAAAGTGAGATACTTTGGGTTCAATGCGCGTCATCAAAAGCTTATACATTATCTCCGTTACTTCAAATTACTACAGAGATAACGAAACTTATTACCTTTTTTCGTATTACACACTTTGCGATCCATTTCGATAGAGAGCCATCTTAAGCGAGCCTGTTACGATGTCCCATCATCTTACGTTAAAGCAATCAGGTCCAGGCCAACCTATTGGCGTAAGCACAAGGTCGCGGCCATTGGGTGGCGCTGATAAACGTCACATCCCGTAGCGAGCCAAGCTAAATAATGCCTCCTCAGTTGTAACCATCCTGCATTTTTCAGCTATGCAGATAACTATCTATTCAGAGCAGCGCTCGGGCGGCCAGTTCCAGACCAGGAATTGAGTAAAGTAAGGGAGTAGACTTAAGTAAAGGAAAGTCAAGCCGCCGGCTACGAGAGTTCTTTCTAGCTATACATTCAACATATTTCGATACCAGGTACCTGACCTAACCTAATTTACGGTCCAGTCTTCAATATGATTGTTTTTCCATCGTATTTCTGATGGCGTCTTGATATATCAACAGCAGCAAAGTGTTAGATTCGTCATTAACTACATATCTTACAACCCATGATTATAGTAATAATAGAGCACATAAGTCGCAACTCACGATCAAAGTGTTAGCCAAAGTGTTAGCCAAGACCACCGCCCTTCGTTTATCCCTTAACTTCGCCTCCTCCCTCAAAATCAGCTATGCGTTACTCGTTCGCCCTGTTATTTGCAGTCTTTTCCTTCGCTGCCGCCCAGACTCGGTCATCAAAGCGTGGATTGGTATTTGTTCCGAATCCTAGCAACCCGGAGGATGACACGATATGGGTTCAGTCAGGATCCGACCTGACTTGGTACTACAATTACCAGTCGACGCCGTCTCCCGCCTTTGACGGCGTATCGCAAGACCGGTTTGAATTTGTGCCTATGCTTTGGGGCGCCATTGACGACACCTCGTTCCTCGAGTCTGTTCGGACCCAGATCGATTCCGGCCGGGAAATCAAGCACGTACTGGGTTTCAATGAACCCGATAGCCAGTACTCGGGAGGTAGCAATGTCGAACCTTCGAAGGCCGCGGACGTGTGGATCAAGAACATAGCGCCTCTCGCCGAAAAGGGGGTAAAACTAGGTCTACCGGCCTGCACCGGGAGTTGGGGAGGATTATCGTGGCTCGAGCAGTTTCTAGGGAACTGCTCCGAGCTGATTAGTACTGAAGACGACAAAAAGAATTGCACGTACGATTTCGTGGCTTTACATTGGTATGGGAATTTCGAAGGGTTGGCAAGTCATATGGGCTCGTACGCAGCTGCGTTTCCCAACGTAACTCAGTGGATTACCGAGTACAACTTCGACAACCAAGATCTCTCTGCGACCCAAGCATTCTACAACACGTCTTCAGAGTATTTTGATCGCATGGATTCTGTCAGTCGCTACAGCTTATTCGGTTCATTCCGGTCAGAGGATAGCAACGTAGGTCCTAACGCCGTTATGTTAAATAACGCCGGGCAGCTGACGGATATCGGTTCATGGTATTTGGGTATGAGCGGTACAAATATAGATCCTCAGTCGGGAGCGGGAGCGGGAGGACCCCGAGCAATTGTACCGGGTGCTATGGTTCTCACGATGGCGGTTAGCATGTATTTTGTGCTATCAAGTTGGGTCCTCCTTTGAGCGTTTTCTTTTTCTTTTCTTTCTTTTTTTTTCCAGCGGTTAAACACGAGCACGCAAGAATATACTCTTGGGATGGTTTAGGAGATATCGGTTGATTCAGAGATAAATCAACCGATAAAAATGGAGATGAACGAAGGAATATCAACGTATTCTTATCCAAAGAGAGAATATATACTATGTGTTTCCAAGTAAATCGCTAGATCCTTGTAAGCGCATTCACATCTTCACATCTTGTTGATCCCATATGGTCGGGTACCTAAGGTAGATTAGTACAGAGGCGTACCTGTGGAATATCCAGTGCCTAAAAGCCAACTTGATATAGGTAATCCGTACCTACCTAGGTACTAAGGTGCTGAGGTAATAAGCCCGGATCTGCATTCTTTACCCCGGACTTTCAGCGGCAGGAGGGGCTAAAGAGACGGTACCTAGGTAAGTATTGTACGTACCCCACCGAAATATCTGCCGACGGCCGAAGTGGCCGAATCCAGGCCTCGGCAAAATGCTACGCTTTGGACCCCTGTATATCCCCTGTGAACTAACGCCCATTAAACCAATTCCAGCTTCTCTTCTTCAACCTACGCCGCATCCTTATCCCGTTCATTCGTTCTTTATCAATTCCGGACAATGCCACTCTCGATTGATTTAAGCTAGCCATACTTCCCTCTTCTCGTTCTTTTCATCGTCTTCACGTTTCTATTGTCATATAGCATTTGCCGGATAGTTATAATAGTATATTCCCTCGTCTGTCGAGATGGCTACCGAACGGGTTAATTCCATTTTGAAGCACTTGTCGCCCAACTCGCCTTTGGCTACCATGTAAGTAGACGATATCAGAGATGGACTGGATAAACAAAGAAGCGGCAGTGCGTAACTAACGCATATCGCCTCTCTAGAACCTCGAAAAACCCCGACGATGTAGTCATCACGCTCGCGATCCGGACCCCGCTCTGTAAGGCCAAGAAGGGCGGTTTCAAGGACACGTCCGTCGAATACCTTATGTATGCCATCTTGAAGGCCGCGCGGGAACGTCTGGGCTTCTCTCCAGATCTTGTAGAAGATATCTGCATGGGAAATGTATGGATTAATACCGCCCCCGCCCCCGCCCCCGCCTGTCATATTCCCCTTTGACTTACTCCTTTGTTACAGGTATCGGACGGTAAAGCAGCGTACAAGGCTCGCGCCGCTGCCCTCGCCGCCGGATTCCCCAACACGACGAGCGCCTCGTCTGTAAACAGGTTCTGCTCCTCGGGTCTAAAGGCCACCGCCGACATCGCCCACCAGATTGCTACGGGCTCGATCGAGATCGGTATCGCTGCTGGGACCGAGTCTATGTCGGTCGGGGGCGACAGCCTCGAGCAACCTTTCGACGAAGAAGTGACCAAGCACAGCCAAGAGGCGGTTGACTGTATGATGGCCATGGGATGGACGAGCGAGAATGTGGCGAAGGACTTTGGAATTTCCCGTCAAGCTGTCGACGAGTATGCGGCAGAGAGCTTCAGGCGAGCCGAGGTGGCTCAGAAGGCCGGCTTTTTCGACGATGAAATCGTGCCTGTCACTACCAAAGTGAAGGGGCCTGACGGCCAGGTACAAACCGTTACGCTTACCAAGGACGAGGGTATTCGACCGGGGACGACGGCTGCTTCATTAGGAAAGATTCGCATTGCTTTCCCTCAATGGGGACCTACCACTACCGGAGGCAACGCCAGCCAGGTTACCGACGGCGCCGCGGCGGTAGTGCTTATGAAGCGATCCAAGGCTACCGAGCTCGGTTTGCCGATCATGGCCAAGTACGTCGGATCCACCGTCGCCGGCCTGGCTCCTAGGATCATGGGTATCGGCCCAACAGTAGCGATCCCAAAGCTGCTCAAGCAGCACAACATCACTCTCGACGATGTTGATGTCATCGAGCTTAACGAGGCGTTTGGGACGATGGCTGTCTATTGCAGAGATACTCTGAAGCTAGATTGGGCCAAGATGAACCCTCGAGGAGGTGCCATCGCCCTTGGTCACCCCTTGGGCACGACAGGCGCTCGACAGATCGTGACGGGCCTGAGCGAGCTGAGGCGAACGAAGAAGAAGATCTTATTGACGAGCATGTGTATTGGAACGGGAATGGGTATGGCTGGCCTATTTGTTAACGAGCAATGATATAGCGTACTCGACGGATACCTCTTCTTTTTTTTTTTTTTTTAATGAGCTCGCGATGGGAGAAATGGTGGTAAATTAGACGCTGTACCTATTCTTGATCAAATGTAATTATATGTGCCGTGTCGTTTCCATGTCTTCTGTAACTTGTAGCCAACTTCTGCGGATTTCTTACCAGAGTCAAGTCATCGTAGCTAGAAAATTGAGTCGTAATCCTTAGCAATATACGCATGGAATGTCTTGAACAGCAGCAGCGTGATTCTTATCAGGGGTATCATGCTTAATTAGTTTTTTCCTACGTAAAAATCGATTACAAGCCCCATTATATCCAATCTGAAAATAACCAAGGTTCACGCTCTCGCATCTCACGATTCGCTTATAAAAGTATAGCGAAGGCCCAGTTGATGTCAGCCTCGTGAGACTTCTTCAAATTACCCTTTAGCCAACAGGTATGCTGGGTACCCGTATCGCCCTCGATGTAGCCCCAGCCGCAACCTGTACACCCAGCAGTTCCCGCGCAGTTCTTCATGCAGTCCAATATGCTTTCCGTGGGGACCTGCCGTAGATTCGTCGACTCGATATCGCTATAGTCTATACCGCAGATTCGTAAGAATTGCTTATCCGAACCCGGAACTTGGTAAGTAGTTCCGTTTGCGGCCGGACAGTCGATCTTCCCTGCAGCATTACCGGTGGGAGTAGAACTTGGCGAGGTACGGGTCTTGGACGGGCTAGAAGTGGACGTTGCAGAGCTGGCTGTGTTCGTAGACATGCTTGAGCTTGATTCCGCGGTCGTGGAGGGCGAACTGAAAGGATTTATTAGCATAGGCACATGCATTTATTTCATAAGCCGCATATGGGCGAATCGCGGATTGGCGCATCACGAACCTTGACGATGAGACAGCATCGGGACCGGCACCAGCGACAGCAGCTTCTTTGGAATTTTGTGACGCTACTCCAACGCCAACTCCAACCCCGATCGCGACAACTAGCAACAGCGATATCAATGCTATTAACCACCAAAATTGAGCTTTCTTTAATCCCATTATCCTCTTGTCTTCCGCGGGCGCACGACTATGAAGCGGAGCGGGAAGCCCTTCCTCTCCGGCCGATGGCCTTTCGCCGGAGGGCCGCGGGCTGCTAGGAGGCGTCGCATCGCCTAACCACGTAGATGGGAGACGCAGGTGTTTTTCCGGGTTGGCAGAAGGCGCAAAATAAGCCCGCGAGGCATTCTTCAACTCGTTGAAGTCGCGATTAGCGAAGAAGTCAAAGCCACGAAACTCGAATGATTGCGTTTTGTACGCTTCCCTCTTCCCCGCTCTCGCCGTGATGGTCGTTGTCCCTCCCAGCCGTCGTGCCTTTTCTGCTTCCGCAATTGGCTGATCGGACGGCGCCATGAGAATCGTCTAATCTTGTAAATCAACCATTACCGGGGGGTTGGACATTATATTATTATTATTATTCCCGTACAGCCGGAGAAATAAACACGAGAACTTGAAAGCAATTGAAAGGATTGGACGGCAGCAAAAATGCTCACCTATTATCAAGACAGAACGAAGCGAGGGACGGAAATGGGGGGGGGGGAAGGACTGGGGATGGGGGAATAAGGTGGGATTCTAAAGGGTTATTATCACCGCCGTATTTAGATGTTGCTACGATATTAAAGGGGTCCGCCAAATAATACTTAAAAATAATTATTTACACATACGCCCCATTCATACAGCTAAGAGCATCTCGACGTCGATAGTCGTGTATAGTAGATACGATAGTAGATCTTTATTATATTTATAACTCCTCAGTCTCTGTTCCCGATTCATGTATTAATGCCCATCTTCGTCTTTTTGTCTGTCTTTATGTCCAATCATTTCTTACGGCCTTTGGAGATGCGTCCAGGGCGTGACTGGGATTATGTTGTTGTAGATAGTCCCTTGAACCTCTACGTAATTACGCTGAAAGGGGCCGGACGAGAACTAGAGCATCTTGAGCTGTAGCTGGGGTTTGGCGTCAAGTTGCTAACCCCAGATCGAAGAGCTAGTGCCAGCTAACTCTGTATAATGCATATCATACTTTGGTTAGGTCGTCTCGTGCCCGACGAGGGTTGTTCTGGATGTTCTTCGAACTCGGATACCCCCTTTTGTAGTCCGCAGTTAGCTACACCTATGGCAGATTAGCCTTAAAAGCCGACTGCATTGTAGTTTCGGGAGAGCCGATAGGTACCAACGACAACGAATTTTTAATTTTTTTTTCTTATTAAACAAGGCCATTCGCACCCGGTCTAAACCGTAGAGTTCCTTTTAGTCCTCAAGGTCGTATTTCAACTTATACAGAGGCAATAACAACGAATGAGACGTATCTTGAGTGAGTTATGCTTTTAAGGCATACGTACGTACCTACCTATGTACCTACCTAGGTAAGTAGATTGGTTGAATATTCCAGAAGCCAATTCAACTGGAAGGTGTTTTTAATATTTCGCCAAGTTCCCCATGTTTTTGTTGTAGAATTCGTGCGATATCTTAGCAAGAGACTGCATTGCCTCACTTGTAAGTTGTAGCGATGATAAAGGATAGTACGTACTATTTTTCAAAAGGGCCCTCTTGCACACTGTAACCATAGTGGTAAGCCACCTAGAATTTAGCGTACGAGCCATTATCCGCCCCCAAAATTAGTACGTAAATGAGGTAAGGACATTGCGCCCCGCTACCATTGGAGAAACGCCACCTTCAAACCTTTAGCTACGTGTTATTTGATATCGCTACCTACCTACATACCTACCTTAAGGTACCTAAACCTTCTTCACTAATTAACATCCGAGCATCGAGAAACACACTGCAACCGTCTTAACGTAAAGCAGCTCGCATCCTCCTCAAGATGGTATTAAAAACGCTTGCTCGTTTACTCCAAGGCGCATCGCTCACTGAAATATCTTAGAACACACAATTCAACTCGGCGCTCAAGCAGTCCACCTCCATAAAGCGAGATCTCGCTGGTCTGTCTGCGTCCGACGCCGGACCTCCCACTCCCGCGGCGCTTGGTTCCCTCTCCGCGTCCCTCACAGCCTTTTCGCGAACCCTCGACGAGTATAATGCGCTTGCGAAGCAGGAGCTAAATCCCGCCAAGCAAGAGAAAGCCTACGAACGGATTAGAAATTTCCGAGCTGAGCTCTCGTCGTTTCGGACGCAGCTGGACGAGCTAAAGACGCAAAGAGAAGACACGCTACACGCGCAAAACCGATCTGAACTTCTTGGCCGACGGCCCTTTACCACCGCTACCCCCGAAAACCCTTACGCGAACACCCCAACGCCGCCGCAGTCCTCGTCTTCCCCCTCGTTTCCTGCGAACCGCTATGGCAACGGCGGCGTCGGCGGTCAGCTCAGCATGGGCAGCAACGACTATACTCGGGAAGCGCACGCTTTACGGGAGCAGAACTTCTTTGCTAGTACGAATACGGCGCTGGACGAATACATCGCGCGGGGCCAGGCCGTGCTTGGGGACTTAGGGACGCAGCGCGAAATGTTGAAGAATACGCAGAAGAGGTTGTACAGCGTCGCCAACACGCTCGGAGTCAGCGGGGACACGATACGCATGATCGAGAGAAGGGCGAAGCAGGATAAATGGATCTTTGGGGGTGGCGTCATCGTCTTTTTTGCCTTCTGTTGGCTGTGCTTGCATTTCCTGCGGTAGGGTGGACAACTGGACAACTGGACATGCATTAGGCTTAGATTTTGAGGCAGGGAAATATTGCGAAGGCTTGAAGCGTGAGTTCGCGCATGAATAATTGGCATTCAGCGTGGAGTTTTGGCGTTATTCTAAAATATACAGGCTTTCTACGCCTTCTCTTGTTTCAGCGCGATAGTAAAAAGCACATCCTTCGTAGTCTCGATTTCGACAACCTTTGTCTCTGGTAAAACATGATTGCTCGTGCTCATCTGCCCACCAAACTCGGTGAGCCAGTTTTCGACATCCCACTCGAGGCCTCTGGTCGTGATGACGCCGGCTTCCTTGATAGGGATGATGCCTACCCACTTAGCGAAGGGCTCGCCGCTTATGCGAACGGAGTTGCCGACGATAGCATCGGGCTCGCGCACGTGGATACGGTGTTTTCCAGCCTTGAGAAGGAAAGACAAGCTCTCACCGGAGACGAGATACATCCTTCCGTCGGCGTAGGTCGGCGAGGTTTGGAACAGGTATAGGTGATGTAGTTGGCTCAAGCCCTGATCCACACGACCTCCCAACCCTCCCATGCATACGATGTCTCTCTTGGGGAACTCCTTACGAACGTGCTTGACAGCTTTGGCAAAGTCGGTGCAGTAATCGTCGAGCTCATAAATTATGTTACAATTCGCGGGTTTGGTGGAAAAGAATCTTCTGGTCTCGTCTGATATGGAATCTAGGTCGCCGATTATTGTATCAAGATTTACCTATGTCGTTATTAGCCAGTCGTTTATATATATTTTAGGCATATAAATGAAAGGATTCTCGGGATGTATCCTCACATAATTACCAGAAAACGACGCAGAGCTTCCCTCAGACGATAAGGATTTCTGGTTGAGTTGGTAAACCCAATTCGCACCACCGTCGGCAGCGACTCGTGTTTCGGCTAAGATAAAAGTCGGTATACTTGCGACGCGATTGAATGGAATCTCACGGAGGTATACCTATTCTCCATAGGTCTCTAAAGAAACCTTCTTCGCTTATAGGCTGATTCAGAATGATAAGAGCGAATTCGTATCCTGGATAAGCTAGAAACTGCCTGATAGGATACCACTCGGTGCATATGGCAGGGCTTTCCTGTGTCGAATCCATGACGATGGGTTTATAAGATTGAAAGGCTTCTTTGCCGACTTATAATTAACCTTGAATTTGTATAATTATGTGTTGGAATAAGCAGAAGATACAGGTTGAAATGTGAAGGATGAAGTGTGCAAGGTGAGTGAGGTGAATAAGGTGAGTAAGAAAAGTAGAAGTGAAGCTCAAAAAAAAATAATGACTGAGTTGGACTACCGTTCGAGTTCACCGTACGACACACCATCCAACAATTACACTTGAATAAAATCAGAATGAGACATGTCTTATTTTATTTTTAATTTTACCGTATTTCTTCTGCCACCTGCAATTTGAAGTTATAACTGGAACATGTCCAATTGATTTCTTAAAAGAAAAAAAAACAATTGTTTCCTGATGTTCATTCACATGTGTGTACTCCTCAAGATTGTACCAAATAACGTCATCTCAATTGAGTTTAGGTAGGTACATACTTACCTACTGCATGGACGCATTGGCCATTCCACATGCATCAAGTACATAGTACTTTAGGTATTGTAATTTGTACCTACCATTCCTATGTCTTTTACGTACAACACAAAAGTACCCTTGCGCAGATAAGGTACCACCTGATGGCATGATGTAACCACCACCTAAACCCCACCATTTGGCCCTGTAAGAGGTTTCTCGGTCTTTACCTAAATCAATTGACCCATCACCCCGGTACTGAGGTAGGTATTTACCGGGTTAGCAAGATTCAAAAAATTTGGAGGCGAGCCGAATGTTTAATATCGAATATCGATGCTTACAAACCAAGCCAGTCTTCGCTAATTGTTCATTATTCCTAGTCTTCCGGACGACATACCAACTTCTTACCGAAAAACCACTAGTTATACAGCATTCGTTCCTTTTTTTTTTTTCAAGTCGTTCCTTTCTTCGTGCAGCTCGCTAGTAAAAAGACAATGTATAGATCCGCCTTGCGATCCGCGCCCAGAGTCGCAAATAGTCTGCGATCAACCATCATCTCACCCGGTGCGCGACGGTTCGCCTCGACCTCCCCCGAGGGCAAAAAACGAAGTTGGAAGAGCACAGCTGTAAGATGGGGTCTGGCTGCGGGTATCGTTTATTTTTATAGCACCGGCGCAGTCTTTGCCGAAGAACCGTTGCGTATGCGACCCCGATTCTACCCCGAACTTGATTCGATTCCTTTTTGCTTTGCGTCTTGACTAACGGTTGCGTGCGTGCGTGCGATTTAGCTAAAACGTCACCGCCGCCTCCCGAATTCTCCGACCAAGATCTTCCAACCGTAGAAGCCGTAGTGGCACAGAAGCGCCGGGAAGCCGAAGCACGACTGCAAAAGGCCGCAGCGGCTTCCGAGCCTCCCACGGCCAGCCTACCTTCGGAAACATCCCCTTCGGCACCAGCTAAGCATGTCGAGGCACAAGACCAGGCTAGCCCCCCGGCTGGAAGCCCAGAAGCTTTAGAAGAAGAGGCGGATCAGCAGGGAGCGTTCAACCCTGAGACGGGCGAGATTAATTGGGACTGTCCTTGCCTGGGTGGGATGGCTCACGGACCCTGCGGCGAGGAATTTAAGGCCGCCTTTAGCTGTTTCGTCTACTCCAAGGAGGAGCCGAAAGGCATGGACTGCATTGATAAATTCCAGTACGTCTCTTGTTTTGGTACGCGAGCCTGTGCGTTGCATTATTCTGACGAATGAAATTAGACACATGCAAGACTGCTTCCGACTTCACCCCGAAGTATACGGAGAGGAATTAGACGACGAGGATGCACCTAGGGAAGATGCTCCTGAGATCGCGACGGACAAATCGGCGGTCAAGACGTCATCGTCTGGTGAGAACGACGCGGAGACGAAATTAGATGAAACGACACCAGCAAAAAAGGGAAAGTCTGCGGCTACTGCAGACGTGGAGAACGGAGCGGCGGTAAAGGAGGCGGAGAAGCAGAACGTCCCTCCTGCGCAACCCTAAGTGATGGGATGGAGATGGGATCCTGGGCACTTCGGACCTATAACGTACACTTAAATACTAACCACCGATACGGTCTAATAAGAGAGAGAGAGAGAGACAGAGAGAGAGATAGATGTATGTACCTGGAACCGTGCAACCTGTACAAACATTAGGTAAACACCGATTACGTTTATCGTAATCGTTTATTAAGTGTATATTTATAAGACGCATGAGATATACGGCGAAATGAACCAAGCATCTCCTTTTTAACATGATGTTATACCTTTTTTTTTTTTCTTCTACTCGTGATAGGTATATTGGTATTGTATCCCCCCCTCAGCCTTAATCCGGGGTTGTGGGTTAGTCGTCAAGGATAATGAAAGACAATGCGGGCGGTCGGCCCTACGACAGGGACCCCTTGGTTATTACTGTGTTCTCGGTCTTTTTATTTTGGATGCGAAGATCAAAGAGGTATGGACTACAACGACCTTGGCTGACCACCTGGGGTAATCCCCACACAGTTCGGGGGATCATGTACAAGTCTCCCCCTGCTCACCTCCAACTCGTAGCTTGTGACTCCAAATTCACCTCCGGATTCCCTCTCTTCGTCTCTCTCTCTCTCCCCTTAAATTCATGATAAGGGGAGTCCATGATTATTATCTGTAATCTTTCTCGATACGTTACGAGTCTGTTCTGTTCGAACATCATATACCATCTTACCCGTTGCTTCTTCTTATAATCAAGATTTTTTTTTTTCACGTTTCGTATGGGGGACATGATAGCATCACGTGAAGAACAAGATCAAATTTGCCGGGTTAGCCCTTCGGCTGATGACGACACACGTCAAGCCCGTACGAGTATACCCGCAAAGGACCGCTTAGCTGCTCCGCCGCGAGCCAAGCGGGCACAGGTGGCCCGCGCCTGTCAAAGATGCAGGAGATTACAAAAGGCCTGCAGCGATTCTCGGCCGTGTCGAAGATGTACCAAGGCCGGGCTCGCTGACGAGTGCAGCGGCCTTCCCGTCCAGCCCCGAGTTCTCACCCGGGCCCGGCCGGTGAAGCCGCTGAGACTCCCCGAGATGCCGACGGGAGGGGATGCGAAGCCGCTGGATTTTGCTACGTCTTCGCCGCTCATAAACATTAGCTTGCCTATAAGCCCACAGGCGTTTACTAGCTTCGCGAGGCAGTCGTTTGAAAGGAAAGTAGATCTGCTACCGCCTCGGGTGGTCGATTACTGCTCCAAACGTTTCTTCGAACGCCTCGCCCCGACTATCCCGATCGTGACGCCCGAGTACGTCACCAATCTTAGAACCCGGCTCGCCTCGGATAGCGAGGCCTACTGCGTTCATCTCGGCTTGTGCGCCATGGTGACGCTGCAGGTCGAGGAACCTGGTGGTAAGTTCTTTGGACAGTCTATCGCGGCCGAGAACAACGCAGCGTACGGGTGGATGCTGCTGGAAGAGACCCTAGCAGCTCACCGCCATATCACACGCAGATCGAACCCGTCTCTAGACTCGGTTCTGCTAGTCTTTTTTATATACGCCTGTCATGCGTGCCTATTCCACCATTCTCAGGCCTTCTTTTTCCTCCGCGAAGCTGCTACTCTCTTTATCCTAATCAAGCCGGAGACGCTGGATGATACTTCGAGGTTATTGGCCGAGAGATTATTCTGGGTATTGCTCATATCGGAGAGATCTCATGCGATCCGTTACCGCCGCCCTTCCACTCTACAAGTAACTACGAACGGCTTCGGCTTATCGTTCTCCAGGGACCGTAACGTCTCGCTATCCGGTTTCCGGTGCCTAGCGGCCCTCTTCCGTGCGCTGGATAGCAATTTTATAACTCTTCTCAATCAAGAATCGGCTCCGGGCGCGGTGCCTGTTAATTCGTTCGACGAGCTCGAGCTGGCCATTAACACGGCGCTGAATCATACCTGCCCGTCCGACCTTCTCCCGACTCAAAAGGCCAATCTCAGAGTGACGCAGCTCTGGCTACGAATAGTTCTTTGGCAGCTTCGATTGCGCCTAGGCCACCTCTCGGAGCAGAACATGAAGAGCAGCCGCACCTATCACTATCCATTAGATGTGGCGAAGGACCTGGCGCTTTCAACTCGGGACTTACCCGTACAGAGCATCCAGGTACATGGCGTAGGAATAACGGAAAAACTATTTGATATATCATGCGCCGTCGTTAACGTTCTCGCCCGAGTACCTGTACAGATGGCGCGGACGGCAGCTGAAGAGGACTTGAAGTACGTAAGACGGTTAATTCTACAGCTTCCCGGTGGCTCGACGGTCTACGATGCTCTACTTTTAAAACACATCCAACAGACCTTGCCTACAATGGCAGCCGGGCTCGAAATATAATGGCATTTACCAAACCCGTTCCATATCGACCAGTAGACGTGGTGGTGCATGAAATCTAGAAGTTTCGTCGTTCGTATCACACCGAGGTTCAAAAGCATCATAAAATCTCTCGTGATAAATCAAATATAATGCGATGAGTATTCATCCAATCAGACATCTTAACGGGAGTTAAGCTTGGTCTAACCCCTTTTCCGCCTTTCCATCTCTCGACACTCTTTCAATCGCGTCGCCAACCCGCTGCGAGAACGGATCTATCTTCGTCCGAGAAAAGTGACGCGCCGGAACCTTATGTTCGAAGAGCAGATTTAAGTCGGCATATGTTCGTCCTAAAATGTAAAGAACATGTAAGCTTTGGCCGCGTCCGGATAATGAAAACATTTATGACGTGACGATTCATGAATCATCTTACCTTTTGGTTCAGGTAATCGGAAAAATACCCAAATAGAGGACAACAAACAAGTTCCCGCCCAGAAATATGCCGTTTTGGCACCCCAGTTCCAGGCCGAGGATGAGAGTTGATAATTGGTCATGACATTTACGAAGATGTTGCTTGCGTTGTAGCCGGCACGGGCGAGGACGATCGTTTTAGCCTTCAACCGCGTTGAGGATAACTCCGAGATCAAGGAATACGTAACCGGCCCGACCGTAAAGTCATAAACGAACGTGAACATGATGAGCATACCGCCAATCGCCCACACGGAGCCATTAGTTTTGACAAACGCGAGGGAACCGACGATAATCAGGATAATTAGCTGACTACAAAGCCCGCTGAAGTGGATGGTCCGCCGACCCACGCGAGACACTTGAAAAGGTCAGCAGCGATATAATTGAAACTACCAAGGAGTTTGAGGGCTTGCGACGGGGAGGGGGGATAAGGGAGAGATCGTAAATGCTAGATACATACTAAGAAACCAGGAGCCGGCTGTGCCAACCATGCCCAGTGCGTATTGTCCCATGGAGAGGGAGAAGGAGTTTGAAGCGTCCAATCCTGCTTGGGTCCTGTTACTTATTAGCTTGAATTTCTGCCCTTTTAAACTGCACTTCATTGCGATAAAGGCTTGGGGACCCTACAAGAAATACGAAAAATATCCCATCAGGTTCTGACCCCCGAGCGTCTGCACGAGCCAGATTCCGACGACGATTTCAGTCCTTCGCAGGTCGACACCCTTGAAACAATCTCGATACGTGAGGCCTTGAGTCGTCCGTTTTTCGAGCTCGTTGGTGTATTCGACCATAGCGATAGTCTCGTCCACGTTAAAAGTCGGGTCGTCTCGCGATGTCAATCTTAAAAGAGACTCCCTAGCCGCCTCCCGGTTACCATGTCGAATGTACCACCACGGCGATCTAATTGTAAGGTTAAACAGGTAGAATTTCTTTATACCAGTCCTGCTTTATAACTTACTCGGGCGCGAATATTAAGCCGGCAAGAATTGGGACAGGCAAAACCCATTGGACTCCAAAGGGAATCTTGTATGCCCATTCGTCGGGACGATTAACAGACGCCTTATTCACGGCCGCCGCAAAGAACTGACCGATGACCCAGCACATGTTAATAAAAGTCGTCAAGTACGGTCTAAGAACAACGGGAGCGACTTCAGACGCGTATGCCGGAGTAACGGACTGAAAAGCACCCCACGGAATTCCTAGCTATTGTTAATTTCTTTTTTTGTTCTAAGATTTCAATGACTGAGCCCTATGACTTACCGCATAGGACTTCGCCGACAACGAGGACTTGTACATTAAGAGCGAAGAACAGTACGAATATGAACATGATCATCAGTACTAAAAACCCAATCGTTGTCATCCTGTATCCGTAACGGTCTGAGACCCAGCCAGCAAGGATAAGGCCGAGGATCTCGCCGGCTCGTGCACCGTTGGATAGTCCCGATTGCCACGCTGCGGACACAGCCCATTTGTTTTTCTTCGCATCGTAAGTACCGAACTTCTTGTTAAATTCGGGCGACGCGTAGAGACCACCTAGTAGTACCAAGTCGTAGCCTTCCATGATGAGTGTGGACGAAAGCAAAACAGACCAGCCGATCGCCTTGGGGTAGAGCTTGATGGCCTGTAGGAGTGACATTTCCTGCTCGGCATCGGCTGCGTTCTTGGCATCCGAGACGAGCGTCTCGTCACGCAGCAATTCCTTGTCCTGGGTCTGCTCATGATGCTTTTCTGTAGCATACGCATCTTCTTTCTCGGTTGCCATGTTTCCTACGAATAAATTATCTCCTTGGTTGGAGGTTGTGCTGCTTGTCGTAGGTGTAAGGAGTCTACACGACTTGGCGGGTCGGTAAAACCGCAAGGAAGGACACCATCGTGGGCTATTTATCTCTCCTCGTAAACGGAAGCGACCTTATAGCTCTGTAATGAACGAATCGGCGTCTGTCTAATTTCGCAGTGTCCTAGCTCCGCGTGGAGAATGGGACCGTGGTCAGCTCGCGTGCGGGGTGAAGCCCGGGGGGGCTGACTACGGTCTCACGGTATCATTCCATCGCTATAATAAGAAGTCGTTAAAGCCGGGGTTGTAATATTAAACCACAGGGAGGAGAAGTAAAGTGTATTTATGTCTAGGGGAATCTCCGCGTCCTGATTGGGTCAACCACCTTAGGAGAAGAGATGAGAAGTCGGAGTTGGGCGGAGTGGTAGCGACACCTGACTTTAGAGCGTCTTGGCGAATGGTCTCCCACCGCTCAGGAAACATATCTGTAACTTGGAAAAAGTGCCGTGAAATGTGGCCATCATGGACGGACACGGTTCGCCCAAACTTGACCCGACGGCGGACTGGAATCCAGGGACAGAAAAGAATTTAACCATGTACAACTCCGCCCTGACGCCGTTGTCGACCGCAAGCCAATGACTATGATCTTCTCTGATGGACGATCGAGTTTACCTTAGGTAGCCTACCCAATCCTATCCTATCCTTTTGAGTCTCGCCGATTCTTTCCCGAGTGGAGTAAGTACAAACATATCAAAGCAACATGGATGGGTTACATCATAAGAATGGCTGGTTCGGCAAAGAACCGTGGTGGAAAGATGCTACTTTCTATCAAGTATATCCGGCAAGCTTTAAGGATTCCAATGGCGACGGCTGGGGAGATATCCCGGGACTCGTCTCCAAGATCGATTATCTTCATCAGCTAGGCGTCGACGTGGTATGGCTCTCGCCGGTTTTCGAGAGCCCACAGGCCGATATGGGTTACGACGTATCGGACTATCAAAAGATTTACGCACCTTATGGCACAATCGACGACGTGGATATGCTAGTTGAAGCTTGCCACGCTCGAAACATGAGATTGATTCTCGACTTGGTGGTAAATCATACTTCCGTCGAGCACGAATGGTTCAAAGAGTCCCGTTCGTCAAAGACAAACCCGAAGCGGGATTGGTACATCTGGAAACCGGCGCGATATGATGAAAAGGGACAGCGTATTCCGCCGACAAATTGGCGAGGTTATTTCGCTGGGTCTACTTGGAGTTGGGACGAGCACACTCAGGAGTATTACCTTCATTTGTACGCTCCTGATCAGCCGGACTTGAATTGGGAGTCGGAAGAGTGCCGAGAGGCCATTTACCAAAATACCATGTGCTTCTGGCTAGAACGAGGCGTTGATGGGTTTAGGATCGACACGGTTAATAAATACAGTAAACGTACCGAATACGTGGATGCGCCAATTGCAGATCCGAATTCGCCGTATCAGCCGGCACCGGAGATGTGGTGCAACGGGCCGAGAATCCACGAGTTCATCCACGAGATGAGAAATAGAGCGCTCGCACCTTCCCGAGCCGTCTCCGTGGGAGAGCTCTCTAATACTCCAAATCCCGATCAAGTTCTACCTTACGTTTCGGCAGCAGCAGAGGAGCTGGACATGGTCTTTGAGTTCTCCATGATTCGATTAGGTACAGGAGGCATGTTTGGGCCCAAATACATATACGTGCCGTTCACCCTGCCGCAGATGAAAAAGATCGTATCAAAGTGGCAGACGTTTATCGAAGGCACAGACAGCTGGACGACCGTATTCTGCGAGAATCACGATAACGGACGAGCTGTAAGCAGGTTCGGCGATTGTTCAACGCCTGAGCTGTGGCAGGCAAGCGCGAAGACGATAGCTCTTTGGCAAGCCACGTTGACAGGAACGCTGTTCCTATATCAAGGCCAGGAAATCGGAATGACGAACATGTCAAGCTCGTGGGGTATCGAAGAGTACAAAGATGTCGAAAGCCTTAATTTCTATGCCGAAGCGTTAGCTTCCGGGGACAAGAAGAGGATAGCGGACACCATGCAAGGTCTACGTATGCTTGCTCGTGACCACTCGCGCATTCCCTTCCAGTGGAATGGCTCTCCGAATGCAGGATTTACAGATGCAGGTGTCAAGACGTGGATGCGTGTTCACGACGCTTATCGGGAGGTCAACGTCGAGAAGCAAATATCGGATTCTACTTCTATTCTAACTTTCTACAAGGAGGTGTTGAAGCTGCGGAAGCTATATAAAGATCTATTTGTCTTCGGAACTTTCCGGTTGTTGGAAGAGGATGACGAGGCAATCTTCGCATACGTGAAGGAAAGCCAGCTTCGAATCTCGGATTTGCAAGGCGCGACTAACGGCTATTCCGTCCAAGGTCGCGAGAAGAAAAGAGCAGCGGTAGTTGTTATGAACTTTTCTCCAAACGACCGGGATTGTCTAGATGTTAGGAGAATACTTGGCCGCGGTGACGAGGGTATCGTAAGGTTGTTGGTGAGTACCCGAAGTCAAGAAGATGGGGGCTCGATCCTTGAGAAGGTTGCTATACCATCAGCTTTAAAGCCTTGGGAGGGGCGTGTTTACGTCAATTTTAACTTGGACGACGTTGCAGAAGCACTTACATAGAAAAGGAGATGTATACCCTAGGTACCTGTAACTATTAGGTATGTCAGGCACATATTGATTGTTCTTGGAAGCTTTCTAGATTCCAAGATTTATTCCTAGATCTTCGATTAAAGGGAAACACGTTATCTATTAGATATGCATTTAATCGATATTCAATGTACCCGCTTGCCTGCTTGGTTTCATGCATATTATGCGGACGGATGGAGCCGAGAATACGTCATTCAACAGGCATAAACGAACCGGGGTAAGGCAGGGCAGGCACAATCGTCACGATCATTTGTTCATACCTTAGGTTAGGTAGGTACCTGGAATTATCACGAAATACGTTAGGTACCTCTTGATGTTAGGCAAGTACAATAGGTATTTCCCACTTTCTTTCTTTCTTTTTTTTTTTTTTTTTTCGTCGCCGCCTTATTTCTTCACTTCAAGGTTCCTCACACTTTTACCATCAATCGCGCACTCAACTTAATCGCGAGATTATCACCGTTACTCGTTTACCCCTCCATTAGGTCATTGTCGTTAACTCGCATTATCCCCACAGACCACAGACAGTCTCAACATAGAACAAGAGTAAGTTTTGATATTCCCAATTTCTTGGGGTAGAAAGGGTTGCAAAAGAATGAATAGCAAGCTAACTTGATCCTTCTATCACAGTGTCGTACGCAGAAGTAGCAGCGTCTGGTCCCAAGCAGACACCTGAGGAGGTAAGAAAATATTCCTCCAATGCGACCAACTCCGATATCTAGCAGATGGATACATGATCGTCCCATTGGTAAGGCAAAAAGAAATTAGGTACCTAATCTAACATAACGCTTCTTCCCAAGGCTGCGGCTCCTCAACCTCCCGAGATCGTATCATCTGAGTCCGCAAGCACGGCTTCCCTTGTCGACGTCGACACGCCCTCTGTGCGCACTGTGCCCTCCGACTTTGGCGAACAGGAAATCCAAACCGAGACCCAAGCTGCTCGTCAAGAGCTTGAGGATGCTGCCGAACGTGCACGTGCCGAGGCTCACCTTGCTAAGAAGAAGGGTTCTGGCAAGGCACGAAAAGCCGACAACTTCCTTACCCAGTGGTTTGCCAATTTGAGCGACGGTGCCAGCAAAGCCCTTGTCGCTTCTAATTTGGCCGCGGTCGTAGGACTCAGCGCTTACTTGGGCTTCAAGGCTTGGGGCTTGTACGAGCGCGGACGCTTAGGCTGGAAGAACGTCGGTATCGGTGCAGGCATTCTGACTGGCGTGGGTCTAATAGAAGGAATCCTGGGCGGGTAAGTAACCTGCTTATCTTATTTTATTCGAAGAACCCCAATTCGGTTCATAGGCTGACAATTTTTAGATATCTCTACCGAGGAAGGAAGAAGCAATCGTAAGCGAATTTATGCTGCGGTATAATGGTATAATATGTTGTGGTTGGTGGTCTTCACGCATTGCCGTGCTATAGGATCATAGGATCATAATTACCGGCACTTCGATGGTTCTCTACTCGTGATTTTCATCATTTTTGGCTGTATCTAGTATACTCCTCGTTGCACAAATTCGAAATACTGCGCCGATTCGCCAACGGCCGTTTATTCTTTCCCCAGAATTAGGCGCTTTTCGCCTAGGTAGTTAGGTTTGATGTGTTTTCGTCTAAATCCTTTCCGTTGAGATAAGGGCTCGTTTGCGGTTTCTCCCCCCTTCATCCCCAGGCGTGCGGCAAAGTTCGTTACCTGTCTCAGCTAAAGTTATATTAAGGTATCGTATGATAGTGTGAACCTCCTTTTTAAACTTGACATAGGCAAGCCTAGCTAGCAAAACTCATAGGACTGCCTGAAGCGTTACTCAAGCTCTTCGTCACCTTATTCCAGGTTTTTCGGTGGTTTCAAGCCACCACACTTCTTCATAAACTCCGTTCTCTCGCCGTCCTCCATGAGTTCACGATCGACAATCGTTTTCCTCTCTGATTCGCGTCACTCCCTCCGACGGTAAACACAGGCGCACCTCTAAACGACCATCCCACCAACACGAACCGGTTTAATCAATACATATCCTCCGAGAATCCCATCGCGGCTCGTACGTCTGATACGCAATACCGGTTTCTTGCTGGATATCGATAGTCCAAGCGGTAACTCCCGGATCCCAGGCCCCAGAGCTGCCAACTTCACACCTAACGATAGATAAATGGAACTAGGACCGACGACACGGCCTCCCGCGCGCGTTATTTATGGATCTATCCGCTGTTTCGTGTCAGTGCTCATGTCTTAGATCAATGAAGGAAAACTCCCAGTGTCAAATTCCTGAGTTACACTCATACCTTGCTAATAGTTGGTAGAGGGACAACCCAGATTACCTGAGTTGACGATAAGAAAGAAAAAAAAATAAGCAGGACTCGATGAGGCGGGTTACACACTTCTCTAGGCCATTGATCAGGCTATGTTAATTAAATGCGACTCGGCCCGAGAAATATTGACCGCCAGCCGCGTCATCTTTATAGGAGGTACTTAACCTAATGAGGTATGCTTCGTGTAGAAATAAATATTCCTCGGGTGTGAACTCCTTGATCTCACCATACTTAAATGCCGAGTTTTCGGCGGTGTTACGATATGCGTGCTCGAAATTGTGTCCGATGCGATTCGGCCGATAATATCGAAGCCGATCTCCGGATCATCGCTGCTCCAAGACGGTGTTGATATACGGATATCCCGAAGCCCGTAGGAATGTAGGGGGTTCCGCTATATCAAAATGATAATTAGACGAAGTTGTCTCCAACGAGTAGCAATTATCCGGGAATAAACTGCACGTGTGAACGGTGAGACCCGAACCAATTGTCCGACCACTTGTGTGCCGATACGCAAGGCGTATGTGTGGTACGTAAGACAAGTTAAACCATCGAGGTTACATTGCTACCGCGCAGGCCCTTAATAGTTCGTTACTGCTTACCGTTGAGATTGGGGAGCACTTCAGATCTAACACGTCCCGGCATAGCATCAGCTGCCGGCGCTATATTCTTAGTTGTAAGACTTCTTCTTTATGCCTCACGTAATTTCCGTAAGGACGAAGAAATCCGGGCTCGCTGGTTCGTAAACTCTCGAGTAGTATAGCTGATATCAATTTACGGCCGACTATTGCCGCTTCAGTACAAACGCACATGACATATCCCTACCTCCTAACGATCTTGATTGGAGTTGACTACTACTTGCTGGGACCCGGGAGCGAATCGCTCCTGGGAGGTGACCCTGCAGGCAGCCACCCAAGGCTCATTGATGATTATTCCACCCCGGGATTCGGATATAGAAGTTTTAACCGCTATTTTCTACGACGACCGCGGAAATGTCAGGTGCTTATCCCACCACGATCGGGACAGATGGTTATATAGTTTATGCGGCGTTTAAGCCACGCTAGATGCTCACTTGGATATAATAAGCACAGTCTCTTCGACGTAGGTTGCTCATAAATAACAATATTTATATGCCATTAATCTTCGAGCCAGCTACAGTGGAGAAATAAATATAAGTAAGTTAATGTATCTATATTTCGCATATCGTGACAATAAATGGAGAGGGGAGCTTGCTAATAACTAACGAATTTAGAAGTAACAAAACATGGCAGACAAGGAGACAAACGGATCCAGCAAGCAGGACCATAATCGTCGTGAATATCGATTAATTCCTAATATCATCGACAATTTCGCGAAGGGGGATCCCGAGAGAGAGGCGTTCCTTACACCGCGATCCGACGATCCCAAGGATGGCTGGAAAACCGTCACGTTTAAAGAATATGCGAACGCTATCAACCGAATCGCGCACAAGATCGTAGAGGAGTGTGGCACTCCGCCTCCGGGATCTTTCCCCACGATAGCTTACGTTGGCCCAAACGATACTCGTTACGTCGTGTTTCTAGTCAGCGCCGTTAAAGCTGGTTATAAGGTATGATTTCCCATAGAATTAAGCTACGTATCTACCTAATAAATAACTGTATCTCAGGCCTTGTTTATCTCTCCTCGCAATTCACTCGAGGGACAGTTGAGCTTATTCGAAAATACCGATTGTCGGTTTCTCGCTTTTCCAAACTCGTTCCGAGGGCTGGTCGATCCGTGGCTAGAAAAACGCGAAATGAAGGCGATCGAAGTTGAACCCGCTGAAGCTTGGTTCGTGGAGCAAGACGCTGAGCCTTTCCCATACGGAAAGACTTTTAAGCAAGCCGAATGGGACCCGTTGGTTGTGCTTCATACCAGCGGAAGTACTGGAATCCCGAAGCCCGTTGTCGTCACGCATGGTCTGATAGCTATAAACGACGTCTATCATGACTTGCCTATATTTGGCGATGTATACGAACCATGGCTTCGAGCCTACTCAAAAGTATCGCGAAAGAACTTCGTACCGAGTAAGATAGTTCAATTCCCAGAGCTTGTGGTTTAATCTGCTGATAAGTATCAAGTGCCCCTTTTCCACGCGGCCGGATTATACCTCTTCATCTACAGCGCATTATATTTTGATACCCCGACCGCCTTCGGCATTGCTGATCGCCCTCTATCTATTGATCTTGTCGTCGAGTGTCTTGACAACCTAGATGTCGAGGGAGCCGTACTTCCTCCGGCGATGCTAGAGGAGATGAGTCAGAACGAGGAACACATCAGATCGCTGATGAAGCTTAAGTGTATCGGTTTTGGTGGAGGTTAGTGATTTATATGCCGCCTAAGAAAATTCTTACTTTTATAAGATATATAGCTAATTAAAGTAGGAAATCTCAACAAGGAGGCGGGGGATAAACTGACTAATAAGGGCTTGAGACTAGTCAACATGATCGGTGCTACAGAGTAAGTTTACCTGCCGCTTGGGATTCTTATTTTTATCGGGGATTAGGCATCTAACAAGGTCAGATATGCGATACTTCAGATGGGCCTTCAGCCGAATCCCGAGCTATGGCAATGGTTCGTATTTAATTCCGACTTGATCGGAGCGGATTGGCGCAAGATCGAAGGTAACGAAGAAGTCTACCAGCTGGTTATTGTTCGAAAAGACAAGCATCCGGGTCTCCAGGGTATTTTTTATACCTTTCCGGAGTTGGACGAGTTCGATACCAAAGACATGTACAAGCGTCACCCGACTCTCCCGCATCACTGGATGTACTACGGAAGATCCGACAATATCATCGTGTTTTCCAACGGAGAAAAGCTCAATCCGGTGACCATCGAAGAGACTGTCGCGGGTCATCCCGGAATCAAGGGCGTCTTGGTATTCGGTTCGAATCGCTTTCAAGCTGGTCTCCTTCTCGAGCCTGCAGTACATCCCGAAGATCATCAAGCAGCCGAGGAACTGCTCGATAGCGTCTGGCCGTATGTTGATAAAGTAAACGACGAGACTGTGGCACACGGACGAATAGCACGGCAGTTCGTGATATTGTCTAGCCCGGACAAGCCGTTCCACCGCGCTGGCAAAGGGAGCATCCAGCGAGCGAGCACGTTGAAGCTATATAAAGAAGAGATCGAAAAACTATACGAAGACGCAGATAAAGCGTTTGACGGACCTGCTCCAGACATTAATATGAGTTCGGAGAGCGCGCTGGCGGAATCTGTAAAGGACGTATTTCAAACGAGACTTGGATCTAAAGGGAAAATCGAGCTGGACACAGATTTTTTCTCGGCTGGGATCGACTCCTTGCAGGTTATCAACGCTACCCGGCTCCTCCGTGGCGGATTAGAAGCTTCGAGTTTCCACGTCTACGCGGAAAAGGTGTCGGCTCGTATGATATACGGAAATCCTACGCCGCGAAGGCTTGCTCGGTCCATCTATTCTCTCGTGAAAGAAGGTGAGAATGGAAGTGTAGAGAGGGATCAGGACCATGAGCTTCAGGCGATGAACCTTCTTTGGAAGAAGTATACGGATAATCTTCCGACGAAAAAAGAAGGAAGATCTGATCCCGAGGATGAGAACCAGACTGTTCTTCTTACCGGATCCACGGGCATGTTGGGATCTTATATGCTAGATCTCCTGGTGAAAACCCCGGCGGTGAAGAAAGTTATATGTTTAAATAGAGCAGAGGACGGCGGCATTAAACGTCAAGGACAGAACGCCAAGGACCGAGGTCTCAGTCCCGATTTTGCATCCAAAGCCGAATTCCACCATGCTGATATATCGCTCCCGGACTTTGGGCTTTCTCCCGAGGTGTATGACCGGTTCCTACACGAAGCGGACCGCTTTATTCATAATGCGTGGCCGGTTAACTTCAACATTCCCGTCGAATCGTTTGAGCCCCATATCCGAGGCGTCCGAAACGTTGCCGACTTCGCGACCAACTCATCTAAACGAGTGGCGGTTGTTTTTATATCGTCGATCGGGACCGCGGACAATTGGGATAGCAAAAAGGGAGCGATACCGGAACAGAGGCTTGAAGACCTAACATTGGCAGGGGGCGGCTATGGGCGCAGCAAGATGGTAGGAAGTCTTGTTCTAGATGATGTTGCGAAGGCGGGGGATTTCCCGGCTGCGATAATCCGAGTTGGACAGATAGCCGGCCCCGAGTCGGAAGCAGGTTGCTGGAATAAGCACGAGTGGCTCCCGTCGATTATCTCGAGCAGCTTATACTTAGGAGCTCTTCCGGCCCACTTGGGAATTATGGACCGCGTCGATTGGACTCCGGCTGAGAGCATCGCGAACTTAGTTCTCGAGGTTGTTGGCGTGTCCCAGAAGGTCGCGGCCCAAGATATCACTGGATATTATCACGGAGTTAACCCGTCGGCCACATCGTGGGCAGATCTTGCTCTGGCCGTCCAGGAATTCTACGGGAAAGACCGCATTCCGGAGCTCGTCAGCTTTAGAGACTGGGTCGATCGATTGGAGCAAAGCCAGGCCGGCGGTACCCAAGATCTAGACAAGAACCCGGGTGTTAAGCTGGTCGACTCTTATCGAGGGATGGCAGAGGCCTACGAAAAAGGACAGGAGCCCTTCGTTTTTGATATGAAACATACGATGGAGCGCAGCGCAACGATGAAGTCGGCCAAGCCCATTACGCCTGAGTTGATGAGACACTGGTGTAAGCAATGGGGCTTCTAGAAACGTAATCGCAAGGTCACGAGAGCTTATTGATGAGAGTTTATGGGGATGTCATGTCCAGCGAGGGCTAGCCATGTACCCATGAGCATACTTGCGCTTATATGACATGTCATAGGTAGGTGCATAGCGTATCACGTCTATAAATCATTGTAATTTTACTTCAGGTACCTGATTTTGCCTCTACCCTTCAATCAAAGCATTTTCTTATTCTAGATGGCTGTTAAAGTCGTCTGCGGGCGTATAAACTTACAGAAGACCCTTTACTATATAGAATACAATGAGATGTCGTGAGGGGAGAACATGAGAACCAATGCTCCATTGTGTCTTAACGCTATAACATCGTCGATATGACCGTCGATATGACCTATTTAAGCGCGTATGAGAAAAAAAACAACAAAAAAACCTTGGCCTTAAACAGACGTTGCCGTAGTTGGAGAATTAGGTTAACCCGAAGATATTTTTATTGGAGTCTTTAAAAAAAATAAGACAGCATTAACCGAATTCAACCGATAGAAGGAGAGATGAACTGAGATATTGAGGATAGTGGGGTTACCAAATGGTGCGAGTCATTCACTGAAAAGTTGGAAGCGATGAGGAGTAGGTACTTCTACTTTTTTTTCTTTTTGTGTGTGGCTGGCTCGGATATCATACATGTATGTACCTACCTTCATGTACAATACTTACATCATACATGTACTGATTGTAGAATTATACATGAGGGGACTACCTGTGGGCCGTGGCTAGGAGGTACACTTTGAAGAAGTACCTAATATTTTAGGCTTCGTCCGGTGCGCGGCAGCTGGCGAGTGGCTCGTGCCTCTTCGCCCCCAGCTGCCGAGGAAACTACTCGTCCACCCTGAAATTTCGACAAGCGGGAAGAAAAAAAAATAAATTAAGGAACTTCCAAGTCGTCACCAGAAAAGAAAACTCGACACGTCTTACGTCCACCGCATCTTACAGAGCAGCATAAGCAACTTTCATCCTTATCACAAAATAAGGTAGCTACCTAAGCTTTACGAAGCAGAACCGGCTAATTGTTACGCACTTTTCGCGGCAGCATTTCACGCAACGTATTGCTCGTTTGACAGTAACCAGCATTTCGATAGCATTCATAACCGCATTCGCAGCCGCAGCCGCATCCGAATCCACATTCACATTCACATTCGCATCCACATTCATATTCATATTCGTATTCACATCTGCGTATGCATAATCTCCTATGCACCTGGCTTTTAACCTTAGGCGCGTAACGACGACGCTGACCAAGAACCTAGACGAGAACACGCCTGATTCCTCAACCATTTACCGATTCGTCTCGAATTTCCCAAAGCTCAACACGCTACTTGCATCGCCGATTAATACCATCGGCAATATTTCTCGAATAAAAGTTGCAGCCACTCCGGAACTGTGACAATGCCCTCAAATCTACCTTCAAGTTTCGCCTCAGCGGCTGCTGGTCAGAACCCGAACCGTGATACGAGACCAGGTGCTAGAAGCGATGGCCGAGGGAACTCTAGCGGGGAATGGTACGTTGTTTATTCGTCTACTATCGCTACAACTTTATTTTATTATCTGATGAATATCGTCTTTTTTCCTTTTTTTTCTCTTTTTTTTCTAAGTCGATTGTATTGGATGGCGAGCTGATTGCCCCTTTCTGTTTCCCCCCCTTTCTAGGTCTAGGTCGGGACGATCAACCAACGGCGGTACTCTTACGTTTCGTCGAATATCGACTACGCCCTCGAGCCAGTCGCTCAACAGCCAGATGCAAACTTCCGAATCCAGCCAGCCAGCCTCCGCTGACCCTGCTGTAATTTCTGCTTTGCCGGTTGGCTCCACCAATTTTGAAAACTCGGGTGTCCTCAGATATTCACGAGAGCAGCTCCTCTCTATTTTCAGCGCGACCCACGACTCCAATTCTCAACGACCTGACGTTTCCTCTCTATTCGTCCCCGGATGGAACCCCGGACAAATCAACGGCACGGCATCGAGAGGCTGGGGCAAGACTTCCGACTCCCACGTTGCCCCTCAGGAACCGGACATTTGTTGGGATACGCCGGGATCAACGACCGCTGTAGGCTTACAGGAGATGAGCTCCGAGGAGAAAGAGGCAAGTCGCAGTCCCAAGCTTCAAGCTTCGAGCGTCGAAACAAGCCTTTAAAATGCGGGACTAACTTTTGAAATAGCTGTTCGCATCCGATGTCAATTCCGCTGTGAAACCTCCGGCTCAGAATAAAGACGGAAATCATCCGGGAGGAGGCGTAAACGGTCGGAAGGCTTCCCTTTCCCACGGAACTACTAACACATTTGGACTCGCTTCACCTTCGGCTACGTCGAGACCCGGTACGAGACGGCGTGAAACTACCGATACGAATCCGTATTCTGGTGGCGGTGGCTTAACTTCTCCTGCATCCGCAACGCGCCCATCACGAGACGATGCGTCGTTCTGGCTCGGCCGAAAGAACGCAGACCCCAAGGATTCAACTTTCGAAGAGCCTGAAGAAGATGCTAGCGCGAGAGAGACCCCCGCTAAATCTCTGCCTTTTGGCGGTCTGATGCGCAACAACACGACTCCGAGCAGCTCGGGTTTCGGGGCAGTATCTCCCTGGCAGACGTCAGGCCCGACTACCTTGCCCGGCATAGGTAGCTTCGGCAATTTTGCGCTTCCTGGTTCTACGCTGGGGGACAAGCGACCTGGAAACCCGCGCGGCGAAAGTCGCTTGGCGCACTTGCTCCCAAAAGAAAGCTCTGATAGTATTGCGACTAAGGCGGGCGAGGGTGGTACTTCGGATCCCAACCGTCCTTGGCGTCCGCGCCAGCGTACCGATACGGACCCCTTCGGCGGCGAAGATAGCGTCTCGGGTAGTGCTGTTCTGGGAGGCGCTCAGGATACGAGTCCTCCCCCAATGTCCCACCCGCCGCTTCATACCTCGTTTGATACGCCGGTGAAAGGTTCGACTAGCGATTTTGGGATGTCCAGTCTCAACTTGGGAGGCCATCACGAACATGATCAAGCGCCTTTGAGTCCGTCGGAGACAAACCCATATCGAAGCCCCCCCGGCGAACGAAACGAGCATGAAGATGTGGGAGACAGGCAGCACGGCTCAACTGGCATCGCGGATCACGTTTCGGGTTACGGCGGGGGTCTGCCACGCTCGTTTGCCCACGCGGCGTTTGACGGTAGCGATCGTAGCCAGACATCCAGCGTCGGCGCCAAGGCTTACCCGCCGTTGAGCAATCTGACCGGTTGGCCGTCTTCGAGCACGCCAGACCGCGAGCGTGCTCCGTTCTCGGGCTTTGGCGGCTCCCTCTTCGGTCCCGTTGGGGATTTACAGTCCCCGAGTCTCGGTAATCTCGGTGGCGTGTTTGGTCCCGCGAGTACTACCGGCTTTGGCGGCTCCGGATCTTTTGGCCGAGCCAGCAAGCTCGGCTCCCTATTTCCTCCAGCTATGCAAGCGCAAATGCAAGCCCAGGACAATGATAATCTTAGCGATTCGGTGCCGGACCTTCGTCAGCCTAATCCGTTAGGCGCCATTGGCCGCACTGCTCCAGGCGATCATAGCCGCGAAACAGGCAGCCCCATGAGGTCTGGCAGAGGAATCTTTGGCGACATGTTTACCCCGGTCGAGACCAGTCGAACACCAGGCGCTGCGGAAAGCCTGCATGGCATTTCGGCTGCTCCTCATAACCAGAGCTTTACGGCGACAAGCAATGCGCCTTCGTACGCCGCCAGCCAGACTTCCGAGCCCCCTTCTGTTCAGTCCCGTACTATGGTTATGCCTGATCGTATGCGATGGGTGTATCTGGACCCTCAAGGTCAACAGCAGGGTCCGTTCACTGGGTTAGAAATGAACGACTGGTATAAGGCCAATTTCTTTACACCTGATCTGCGAGTAAAGAAACTTGAAGATTCAGAATTTGAGCCTCTGGGTCAATTAATCAGGCGTATCGGCAACTCTCGCGAACCCTTCCTCGTACCTCAGATTGGTATACCGCACGGACCTCCATCTCAGACCGGTCCTTTCTCTAATTCGGGCGGCGTGATTCAGCCTCCTCTTGTCAATGCCTTCCCGAGTTTCGGAAGGACTTTGACGGCAGAAGAGCAGAATAATCTCGAGAGACGCAAACAAGAGGAGCAATATTTGATGGCTCGACACCGGGAATACTACGCAACCCAGCAATCGATGGGCAGAGTCCCGATACCCGGCGTTCCGGGATTGCATCATCATTCCAGCGCTCACAGCCTTCAAAGTCAACCGAGTTTCGGCAGTATCACATCGCCCATTGCGATGCCCCCTCAGCCCCCGATCGGCGCCATTGGAACCTCGAGCTCTTTTTTCGACGCGCCAGCTACACATCAAGCCGCCATACCAGGTAGTTCTGGTCAAGGACTAGACATGTTTCGAGAAGACGAGCTAGCTCGTCTATCAGGACCAGAACGCCAGATGTTAGCTGGCCTCCACGGTGCCGGGGCTATAGGCGGCAATGTCCCACCACAACCCATCGGCGCGCCCACCTCGGAAGCAGGTGTGCGCGGCCAGCTCCCTAGCTCTCACGAACTCAGCGAGGACGCTGAAGGTTTTCGAGGGCGTTTGCAAGAATTCGAAAAGCTTAGGGCACAGCACGATGCCGAAATGGCAGGACGGCAAGCTTCTTCACCTCTCCGCGAGAAGACTAACGAGCAAGGTGCGCAGATGACCTCGCCCGCGCGACCCACCGAGCCTGAATCGGTTTCTAAACAATCCCCCGGAGCAGAGGCCGCTCGCCGTCAAGCCGAGAACGAGCAATCAGCTGCTTTGACCAAGCAGTACCAACAGTCCCAAGCTGCCGCGGCTGCCGCGAAAATCAGCGGGCTCCCGATGCCTTTCCCACCACCTCCTTCGGCCACACCTCTACCCGCTCCTGCTCCTCAACGTGTTAAATCTAACCTACCAGACCAATACGCTACGAGTTCCCGGTCGGGTACGCCAGATATTGCGCCGTCATCGGCTACGGTTCAGCCGCCACCTCTCGCACCTTGGGCTAAGGACAGTAATTTAGAATCGCACAAGGGACCCAGTCTCAAAGAGATTCAGCAAGCGGAGGCCCAGAAGGCAGCTAAGGCGGAGGAAGCGGCAGCTCTTGCGCGACGTGCTCTACTTGAACAAGAAGCGGCACGAGAAAGAGAGAAGGCTGCTGCCGCCGCTCCTGGATTACCTACAACTAGCACTTGGGGAACTGCGTCCCCCGTCAATCCTAGCGCAGCTAGCAGCCCGTGGGCAAAGCCGGCTCCTGGAAAGGCCCCTGCGGCTGGACCTGCGGCTCAGGCGCAATCTTCAGATAAGAAGAAGACCCTGGCCGAGATTCAGCGCGAAGAGGAGGCTCGCAAGCAGAAAGCGAAGGAGGCGGCCTTACAGACCGGACCCCCGCCTAGTGTCGGAAAGCGATACGCTGATCTCGCCAGCAAACCCAACACCGCATCGGTCCCTAGCCAAGCGACCAACAATAACAGCTCAGGATGGGCTACGGTTGGAGCTGGAGGTAAAGTAAAGGCTCCAACCGGTCCGTCTTCGCAAGTGCGACCTACCAGCAGCGCCGCCAAACCGGTGGCTGCGGCTCCAACACCTACCTCGCGACCTGCTGTGAAGCCGTCGAATTCCGCAGCCGGCACTGGCCACACGGAGGCTATGGAAGAATTTACTAAATGGCTTCACAGTCAGTTGGCTAAAGGAATTACAGGTGTTACGGACAGTAAGTTAAAGCCATACGGACCGGGTTGAATGACAAGACAGCTAACAAAATGTGCGCAACAGTTGAAGCTTTTGCCAATACGTTGATAGGGTTCCCCCTTGTAGGTGATCTGATCTCGGACGCGATCTACGCCAACTCTAAAACGATGGACGGTCGTCACTTTGCCGAAGAGTTCATTCGGCGCAAGAAGCTAGCTGATAAGGGCGTGGTCGAGAAGCAGCCGGCTAAAAGTCCGTCTGCAGACACGCAGTCGAGCACTGCGGGTGGATGGAACGAGGTAGCGAAGAAAAGCAGTTACAAGGAATCTACTAGCGATGCTAGCTTAATGCAAGGTGCTGGCTTCAAGGTTGTACCTGGCCGAAAGAAGGGGAAGAAATGAAGTAGATTAGTTGTAACTGTGGTGTGCTAATATCGGCTGGAGAGTTGAGCCTCTAACGAATGATATTAATGAAGCTCTTGTGACCTTGACTTTCGTTTGTGTACACCAGGTGATGTTCATGCGAAAATGAGTTCGGTTCTGTTTTAAGATAGCTTCACGACCCAAAGTGTAATTACCTCCCTAGGTGCTTCGTTAATGCTCTAGTTTTTTCAACCTAGTCTTCGAGCTTTGCTATAACCTGACTTGAATGAGAGCCTAAGTTAATTTAAAAAAGTAGCATGATGGAAGCTTTCTTTTTCTATCTCTTTCTTTCTTCCTTTTTATTTTATTTTATTTCTTCCCCGTAAGTTAGGTAGTATGGGTTTGAATACACCTCCTATTCTAGCACTTTGCCTGTGGTTTAAGGGGAAGTACCTAAGGGCAATAATACAGCACAGACCACCTGACGTCAAACTACAAGGAAAACGGTTAAAAAAAAAAAAATAAACTGCCCCTCCCCCACCATCAATTACATGTGAATCGCATCACATCACATCACATCGCATCGCATCGCATCGCATTCAGCATTAAGCACTTAGCATTCAACATTCAACATTTCATAAACGTCTTAATGATGATTACCGCTTGAATATATTCCTATTAATTGGGTTATGAATCAAGCATCTTAAGCTCCCCATGATGATCTTACCATCATCTTCCTAACATTAGGCGAATACAAATAAAAATTATTCTGCGCCGTACGCCATAAAAGTCCGATTAAGATCCGTTGATAAGACGGTGTTTGTGTTCGATATGACGGATAACAAGTTTTCGCCCGATACGATTCTCTCGATTGAGAAATCTTTTGAGAACTCGTCTTTCCTGGAATCATTCAAAAATGAACCTGCACAGAGCTTAATAGCCCAATTTGTCCGATATATCACGGCAGAATCGTCTGAAAAACAGGCGGAACTAGATTTCGATGCCAAGACTTGGCTTGAATCTCACGATGCTGTTGAGACAATTCGCCTCGGTCTGGCTTCTCTAGATGCTTTCTTGCAAGCAAACGTTACGGGTCCTGTTCTCCAAGATTTTAGCCAAGTCGAAGCTATTTTCATTTCGGCTTTTAATAAGGAAAAGCTGACAGACGCAGAGTCTTCCGTAACGTCTCTTAGGAGGTTATGTCTCAGTTGGCTTGACGTGGACGGCGTTGCTCCTTATCCTTATATACCTCATATAGAGCTCTTCTGCTTGTCGCGATTCATCTTCACAACAGGCCTTGTCTTACCAACCGAGCTGCCCGAAGTTTGGTCGGATTCTCAGGACTCTATCTCGCTGCATCTCTCCTGGACCCGACTGAGGATTCATCTTTGGCATTACAAACTCATCACACAGCCCTCTTTAGGCCCGGGGTCTTTATTCACCAAGAGCGGCCGCTGGACAGATGTGCCTACCCTCCAGGAGACTATCGAGAAGAGTCTTCTAGAAGCTGGTACCTCGGTGACGGGATCGATAGAAGCAGACCAGGTCTCGGAGGAATCCCGATGGCCTCGAGAGTCCCGCATCCAATATCTTTTGGAAGAAGCAGCTTGTCATATCCTACTTGGCAACGATACAAAAGCTCGCCAATCCTTGAGCTTAGCCACCAAGATCAGCGACTTTTCATATGCCCTTTCCGGTGCTCCTGGAAAGCGTACAAGGTTTCAAGAGAAGAACGTCAGCCAGCTCGTAGTGCTCGCTAAAAGCCACGCTCTACTTGAAGAGACGTCTGAAAACGACACCTCTAACGCCACTCCCCTTGCTCTCCCCTTAAACGACGATACCCTGCTAGAGAATATCAAGTTTGAAAACCATGACACCGGCAGCCAAGTCTCGCATCTCCCAGCAGAGTTGCAGGATATTAAACCAGACGATCAACCACAGCTACTTCCGGAGGATCACATTATCCTTCTAACAGAAGCAACAATAAGGGATACATTTTCTCCCGCTGATTCGCTGACCTCGGAAGAGATTTTACCATTCGCTCTCCGCGTCATCGACGATAAGTCGACCAACTGGCAGATATACACTCAGGCTTTACTCGTAAGGTCACGAATTGAGTTGAGCAGGAGTCGAACAGTTGAACGTGCCGTCTTACAGATGCAGGCACTTGTAGACCAAGTTATTGTAGACACGCAGGAGGCCAACGGTTCAGATGAGGCACGACGGAAAGATGCGAATGGGTCAGGAGCTCAGCTCGATGTTCCTACCATTCAAGTAACCACCGAGCACGGCCAGGACCGTCCTAGCGACCCTCAGAAGCCAACATCATTTCTTCCCGCTCCTAAACCTACCGAGTCGGCATCGCCGCAGGAGAGGCTACGATATGTTAACGCGTTATCCTCTCCACCGCGTTGGCACCTCGAATCCGAGCTCGCCTACGCTTGGACGACAGTTGGGTCACTCGTGTCCGCTTTGGAGATCTTCAAACGTCTACGGCTGTGGGCAGAAGTTGCTCTCTGCCTGGCAAGCAGTGCGGCGGCTGATGATCAAGAGGGTCGGGGCAGCGGGGGTGAAGAAAAAGCCCGGGCGATCATACGATGGAGGTTGTTTAATCGCACTTCCGATACCGATGACGCCGAAAAGCTTCAAGATGATCGCGATCTGGACGACGCCAATTTCGACATCTCATCCCTGAAAGCGTCCGATTTCTGCGGATCAGAACGCTCTCCGCCACCCCCAAATGCCCCTCGCCTATTTTGTATACTAGGAGATATCGAGGACGATCCTAAACACTACCAACGCGCGTGGGAAATCTCCAATCGACGCTTTGCAAGAGCACAGAGGTCACTTGGCGAACACCATCTCAGGAAGCAGGAATGGGAAAAGGCACGAGAAGCGTACAAACTCGCCGTTGGGGTTAATCGGCTGAGCCCGGAGATGTGGAGCAGACTCGGTGATATCGAGTTACGTCTTGGAAACTTTGCCGACGCGGCTGAGGCATTTCAGAGAGCCATCTCGAGCGCAAATAATACGTCTGGTGGCGAAGATGCAAGGACTTGGAGCAACCTTGGAACCGCGCTCCTGAGCTGGTACCGCCAGATAGTCTCGGAGATGCGAGATCAAAAGCAAAAGCTAGAAAATGACGATCCCGACTCTGTGGATGGGATGGCTAATACGAAGCGCGCTGCCGAGATTGGGAAGACGGCGCAAAATCTATTACACGACTCCTTGGTGGCTTTCAAGCGAGGAGCCACGCTTGCGGACTCGAACTGGCGAATTTGGGATAACGTAATTACGCTGGCGGCGAGCATAAAACCGAACCCGGATTTGGAGGATGTTGTCCTCGGAGTTAGAAATGTAATCCGAATCCGCAAGACCGAGGAGGCGCTGGATCTTGATGTTCTGAGCCTCCTAGTGAGGGAGGCGACCAAGACACCGATTCCCGCTAATGCCAAAAAAGGGGAAGTCTACGAACCTGCAAGGGGTACCATCGAAAGCAAGATTGTCTCGCTCTTCGAGAATGATATTGTGGCCCTTATTACGACAAATTCGGCTTCCTGGTCTCTGGTATCACGCCTTCGCGCCTGGAGGAGAGACTGGGCTGGGGCGCTGGACGCAGCAGAGAAAGCGTGGAGGACGGCCGTCGGCGGGGTTGGTAGTTCTTTATCGGCGTCCAGTGGCGTACAAAACGAACAGGGAAGCTGGCTCATAGATGCGGATGCGTGGGATGCTGTAGTTCAGAGGACATCTGAGCTAGTAGCGGCGTACGAGAATTACGGATCGCGCATAGATTCTATTGGCGACAAGTGGAAGGGCAAATCAAGGAGCGCGGTTAGGAGCATCATGGGGAAAGCCAAAGAGTCCTGGGAAGGTGATTCGAGATGGCAAGCATTAGTCGATATTATGGAGGACTTGAAGCTATAAGGAGACACGCTATCCGTCCAAATTGTAGTATACCTAACATACCCCTTTATCCTTACCAATCTAGGGAGGCTAAATAGTTTTTGATACATAACGACGGATGGAATCTTATAGGTTTGCCAGGAACTTAAAGAAAATACCTCTATATTAGGGTTGCTTTGCTAAGGTGAAAACATAGCATAATAAGTTCAAAATACCTAAGACCACCACCAGTATTCCTTAGAACGCCTTCCATCATCTAAACCCTTGACATGCATTTCTTATCTCCCCGTTTACCATAACGAATTATTCCCGTTCATCTTATCTAAACTCCCAAGAGCCACCAGATCTTGAATATGCCCGTCTGTAAAAATAAAAATAAAAAGACACCCGACGAGATGCATTTCTGTCTCGAAAAAAAAAGTATTGGTCTAGTAAAGCAAGTAGAGCGAAGGTAGAGAACAGAATAGAGAAAACTAAAATTACAAGAATCGTGAAAAGAAACAGGGTATAAAATGCTCTAAATAGAAAGGAAACCTGAACCGATCAAGCCGTCCTAAGTGCCTATATCGTGTTTAAAGGTAAGTATCCATTCTTCTTCCCGTCTCGACCCATTTGCTGCTTGGTCAAATCTGCCGGGTCTCGATTCGCCTAAATACCCAGCTGGACCCGCTGGGACGGCCTGGAGACGTTGGCGCGACTCCAAAATTACCTAGGTACCTAATATTAGAAACGCAGTCGTAAGATCGATCCGGCCTATGGAAGTTGGCTGACGAGAGGGGCGAAGGTAAGGTGTAAACGACCGAAGTAAAAAAGTGAAGAGAAGAACCACATCGGCGAAGCATCCGAGCTCTAGGACAAAGGTGACCGAAGAAACGAAATGAGTCGTTTAGAGACAGAAAGCTCAGAAGTAGTGTACAACCTAAATTCTGGCATTCAGATTTACTAGGCGCTTCGGTGGGGGAGGGAGGAATTGTCGGCAGCAATCATAGAGTATAGCTGGTGTAGTGTGTCGTAGAAGGGGGGGAACAAAGCAGGTGGTCCTTAGGCTATAGCAGCGAAGTTCCTTATCACGGATGACAAGCGTGCAGGCATCACCAGACGTGCAATTTCGGTGAAGGCTGGGGTTGTATATGGAGTATTCGTCCATTTCGTGTCTGCAACGTCTCCACTACTCCGAGTGCTGCTGAAGCCTGATGATAAGAAATGCATCAAGGTGCAGGTCATACGCAGAGCCAAGAGTACGGGACAAGCCTCGAGACCAGACAGCCGTCGCGAAACGATTTAATCTCAGGGACGATATGACAATGTGAGCTCCCAATCCTCGACACCTCGAAAGCATAGACTCCTGATGATTGTCTGGGAGGGATAAAGATGATTACCCATGGATGAAGTAAGGGCGGCGTGACGCAGATGGCATGCATCATGCAGCGGCAGCGGCGCGTACCCGATAGACATACGTCTAGGCATATACATAATAATCCATGTTGCCCACATGGGTGCGTCTGCATGTCGATGTGCTTGTGACCAATCAATCAATGGAGGCTAGCCATGCGAAGTCGATCATGAACCACCCCAGATTGACCCTCCCTGGACTCCGGGATGGCGTAGTTATGGTCGTGACATAGAAGTAATCCCTGGTTCATCTGGTAACGTTTAAGAGATGTAGCCCAGTGCTCGAGGGGGTATGGGGAGGGGCGGAAAGTGGGGGGGAGTTGAAGCTGTCACGGGAACGGTAGGCTCCCACGACAAGGATATAATACCTAGGCCTAGGGAGTTGAAGCAAGGATGTCGAAAGACAAACAAGGGGGTAGAAGTCGTTTGGTGTCGTGCGATCGAGTGGGAGTACCGGGTTGAATTGTGATTGGTCAACCTCATAACAGCTGACCTTGGCCGAATTCACCCCCCTTTTTTTTTGTTCTCCCCCCCCCCCCACACACACACAAAATTTACAAGAACTTGACACCATCTCCCAAGACGCGCTCCCCACTAGCCTTCAACAGATTGGACCATATGCCATCATACGAATGGCCCTCACTCTCTATATTCTGGGTTTTAAACCAAGGCATGATCTCTCCATCACGAACCACACACCATCTTCCTTCTCATTTGGCTCCTAAGAATTCGACCGCCCCCAAATAGCGGAACCATCTCCCGCTTCGCACCATACTAGCGTCGTCCAAGTCCACAGCGGCATGAGCCTTAGTTGAGATGAGGGACGAGGGTCAACGCGCAGGGAGGCTATGGGTAACGGATGTTTGGGCTAGATTCCGCGCTGCTGGTGCTGTAGGCTATTATTGTTAAATCTTGTTTATTTCTGTTTCCCTTGACGTCGGAATGATGGGATGGCATTAGAAATTATGCAGCTTCCGTCTTGTCGCGCGTAAACAACATCCCGACACACCACACACACCACCACACATACACACACACGCACAATTCCCCCCATCCTTTAGCTAGATGAGGGCATAGCCACCCCTATTCCCGATGGCTGACATCACCATACGCCCCAGTGCCGTACACATGACTTTGGTGATGCTGGTGGCTCGTGGTGTATGGGGAAGCTGCCGTCGACGCGTCGCCATAACCGCCGCTAGACACGGAAATAGGATCCCAGCGCTGTGTCTGGGGCGTCATGCCGTAGCTTGGCAGCGCCGGTAAGTGCTGCTGCGGCCTCGTATCTGCGTGTCTATACGAAGGGGTCAGGCTGGGGATGTGGATGCCTTGGGGAGAATGGGGTTTGATTCCGGGGGATATCGTCCGCACGGGGTACGCAGCCCACGCTGAGGATGCTCCGCTAAGAGAACGTGGCGACGGCATCGAGTGCGAATCGTGGTGAGAGTAGCCGCCGTCGGATACTGTTGGCGTATGCGGTGGCCCGTAGAGACCTGGACTCGTGCTGCTAACAGGCGTGAGAAGAGTTGGGCCCGGTCCGGGAGACATCGTAGACGAAGGTGATGCGGACTAAAAGCACACGTTAGCGGTTGAAATTCCATATGACACAAAAGTTTATTTGTGAAATAAGAGAATAAAGTAATAAACTCTTGAAGGGCTAGCACTCACGTATTTGGAGATGATCTTCTTAAGCGCGGAGCCCAATATCTTCCAGGGAAAGACCTTCACGTCCTTCTCGATATTGCGCGGTTTGGGAATCGGATAGCCCATTATAAGCTTGAAGAACTCCTCGGTCTCCGGCTTGGCCTTGCTAACCGTCAGGGGGCGGAAGCCCTCGAGGTTTCGCCGGATACGATTCTTCTCTTCCACCATGAACCTGTTCGGCGAAGCGACGAGCTGCTCCAACAAGGAGATCGTGTCTACGCTCGTCACGAAGCACTCCTCCTTCTCGGCCCAGTATATGCAGCTGACGCAGATGCTGTTCTGGGGCCTCTCGTTAACTGGCACGGCCTTGAAGGACATCGACAATGTCGAGCCCTGCTGCTTCTTGCTGAACATGACGATCCGCCTCCGATCTTCCCACTCTTCTTGGGTCCATCCCGATACCATAGATTCGAGATCCCCATTTATCTTCAGCACTGCTTTGGTCGAGTACAGAGCATACGGGTTAAGTTGCCCACTCCCCGACGGCACAGACGCCTGTAACGTGCTTGTCCGGACCAACTGCGGCGCGCCGGATGTCGGTACGGGTAGGGTCGTGATACTACTTGGTCGACTGACTGTGGTGTGGTTAACGCTCGTAACCGGACTCCGCGCCGAGAGGGAATGTCCGTAAGGACTCCACGAAGGAGTTTTCAGGGGCGGCGGCGGCGGCGGCCGGGGATAGTCGAGTGCGTACGACGAGCGATGATAAGTGCCGATCATGTTTTCGTTGTTTGGGTAACTTGTGTCGTAATTGGAAGCAACGCTCTGGGGTGCGGCGGGGGCGTAGCCGTATGTATTTGTAGCAGAATCTGTTCCCATCTGGTCGGGTTCTTGCTGTTTCGTGTGGACTTCCCTCTGCTCAGGTGATCTGGACCCCCTTTTCACCCGCGTGACGTCCTCAGGCGGGCCATCTGCATTTCCTGCCGGAGTATCATGATAAGTGAACGTGCCGACATCAATCGTAGCCAAAGTCTCCCCGGTTGCGCTCTCGATCAGGAGTGATAAAGGCACGTTGGGGCTGGGACTCCTCGTGTCTTCGAGCTGCGGTGCGTCCCCGCTGACTGCGTAGCCAAAGCCGCTCGCATCACTTGAATCCCTTACCGCGTGGGCCGGGCTCTTGTGCGAACCAAAAGCGAGATAGAAGTGACTTGTGATCGAGATCAGATCGTACGGAGCAGATATCTTGATCAAGACCTTGGTGCCAAATATACCTGCTGCTGGTTGGTACGAGATCAACGTCGGTACGACTGGCGCCATATACTGGCTAGCGGAGCCGTTTGCCGCGAAGGCCATCTGGTTAAGCTGAGCAGCAGCATTTCCAGGTTGCTGAGAAGCAAAGTGCTGAGCGGAGTATTGGTAATGAGGATCTTGATATGATCTCGGCGAATCAAACGCTGCAGAGTTCGAAATCAAATTAGCTATATACGTTTCTTGAAGATCTCCACCAACACCATTCTCCTTAGAACGGTCCTGTCACCGTCGTTATTGACTCCGATCGGAGTCACGACAGAGCGAGCACTTACCATGCATCTGGGGCGGTTGTGGTTTTGAAAACGTAGACATAGACAGGAGACCAGGCGGGGAATCCCCACGAAGGTCTCCTCCGTTCGCTCTATCGGCGGCCTCTTCCTCGTACCTAAGAATCACCGTTTCGGGGGACTCAAGCGCGTCTGGTTCAACGATGATTGGCCTCTGGGGTTGATACTGAGGCTACAACGCCTGGTCAATACACGTCTCCAAAAAGAAGGTTGTCCTTCCCTCTCTCTCTCTCTCTCCCTACTCGAAATTTTGACTCACCTCGAACAGCTTATAGGAAGGATACTCAAACTTGACGGCAGACATTAAGCTGCCTGTTTCGAGCAAGTCTGGATGGTTACTAAAATCGGATACGTCCCAATTGGAACGGAGCAAACACCTGTTTCGGGAGCGGTGTTGCAGAAATTCGAAGGATCCCCGTAGGTTAAGACTTTCAAGGTAGTATCTTCCCCCCGAAGTCAGCGCTGGTCGCGTCTGTAATGGCTGCTAGGATGGATTAATGACTACTTTCCCGCTCTCCGCCTGTCTTATGCGATGCCGAACCTATGGGGAAAAGCTAATATGACCGTTTCCCTGTTGGCGAACCAGTGAAACAGACACCCGAGAAAGTTATGCGAACGGGATAGGAACCCGTAGTTGCTGAAAAGCTCAGAAACAGGCCGATGTAGGAACTGACTGGTTTGAATCTCAAGGGACTAGGAACCGCAGGATGCTCCGCCGACTTATTCGTGGGCGAATTAATATGAAAACCCCTTCTTTCTTCCTTACGGTTAGCTCTAACAGTCTTTGACAACCTAGCTCGCAGGAATAGATGTGAGTCTGGAGCCACTCATTGGTCGAAACAAGCTGTTGGCAAACTGATTCTGAGTCGAGTCTCGGAAAGTGGAAGCACCCAAAACTTTTCTCCACCCCTAAAAGAGGAATAACTGAACTCCCTTGCTATCCTGTCCGTCCGACTACCTTATGAGGTACTTTCTGCTTTCTTGTTATTTGTTAGCTAGGAGTAATTTGGTCCCGTTTGGTTCTTAGAGAGCCAGGCCGCTTATGACACGAGTTCTGGGAGGAGTCAAGTCAGGGATCTGTACCGACGAGAATAATCGTTCAACCAGCGGGATTAGATCACGATGGGCTATTAAACTTACCATGAGCACTTAAGTTGGTTAAGTGTGGATACCCAGCTTGTTCGTATGCAGCCTGCCCGAACGTGTTCGCATGAAGGTGAGTTTAGAAGGCTGCAATCAGAAGTAGGCGGCTATCCGAGAGGTTCGCGTGTCCCGCGTGGTTCGTGTCGTAGCTTGAACCAAAGAGACACGAGTTGCCAACAACGAACAGGTAAACGGGCTAAAGAACTGTGAGTTGTCGGAGAACCTGTCAGCAAACGAACGAGCTTTAGAGGAGGTCTCTGAAATATGTGTGTGTGAGACGTTGTTCCTAAAGCTGGGACAGGATGGGGGAAAGAAGTTCTTCGAAGGGAATAGGAACTGATAAAGAGACGAGAAGAATAGGTTGCAAGACACATTTCTCGGATCGCCGTTGTGAAGTAATGGGGCTGTAGTTAAGATTCCTATGCTGTGGCGGGCGAACCCATTTTTTGCATTACACAGGAATATACTATTGATGTACCTTTTTTTTTCGGTTCTTCTTCTCAAGCCTCCCCTGCTTTACTTTTATTGCTATTTTCTCCGTTTATTTCTCTTGGTTGGCTGAAAGGTTCCCCGGTAGCTCAAGTAGGCGGTCGTAGACTAGTAGTATCCCCTCACCTCTTCCAAAGAACGTATAGTCTTTCTTTTACCTATAATTATATTTGCCTGTGATGCTTAATCGACCAGTGACTTGTGTATATGCAGAAACGATGATACCAAACCCTAGTAGGAGTATAGAGGGTGGAGGAAGCAATGAGCAGGGATGCTGGCCGTTGAAATGCGAGATCCAATTGTCTTAAAAATACTGCAAATCATGCAAGGGTCTGTGACCGGAGAGAGAGAAGACTTTTGGGTCGTGCACAAGAATCAGAACTAGGTAGATGATAGATATGGAACCCCCCGCATTAGCTAGTTGAAAAGGGATAGATGCCGGAGGTAGACTACTACGGGAAAGGGCCTCTGGTAACATGTAACAGGACGGGCGTATGGAAGGGGGGGAAAATATTTAAAAAAAAAAAAAAAAAAATACCCAAGAGAAAAAGCACGATGTATGTGAGGTAGGTGGTGGAGGAGAGAGGTACCAAAGGAGCAATGAACCGATAGGAATGACAAGACAAGGATGAGTAAACCTACACGACTTAGGGAAGGGGTTGTATGTGAAAGATGGCGCAACTCCGTGTCAGCGTACGTAGGCTAGACTGCACTACGTTGTATGATTTAGGACTGGGAACAGAGGCAGTTGAGTAGACGAGACGTACCCAGCCAGGGGAACTTTTGGAAACTTCCGGTCAGTGTCAGTTGACAGGAGGTGCCAGTTAGTATCGCAAGTACATAGATATTGCGCATGAAACACATGTAAGTAGGTGTGCTGATAATTAGCTAGATTATCTCTGCCTGCAGGTACATAATTTTCTCTCAGCTTCAACCGCAGTTGACTATCGGCTCGAGAAAAATAATAATTGGGTAAATATAAGGCCGGCATTACAACTTGCAAGCAGTAACGAGCACGAGACAGCATAGTAAGTATACATATTGGTGACAGATATTGGCGATAGAGTCAAATTTGGTAAACGCGAAAGCACTAGACAAGCTTCTCCCGCTGTCAAATGCTTTTTTTTTTTTTTTTTTCTTGGTCAAGTCGATCTATCAATAGACGCTTGTTGTCTGGGAGCTTGGAGATGGGTACGCGAGTGTAAGTCGTGTGTGGATCGAATTACCAAAAAAGGGTAAGGGACTGGGAATATTATTGGACGGCTACTCATTCCGCTAACTCATGCAGCTATTGGACGATCTCCGCAGGTAAATGGAGGATGTGGGCAGCCATCTGAGAGAACCTAAGCCTGCTTGGGATGGTGGGATGACCTGGGAGTTCGCAGTAGCTCGCCGCTTCATAAACCTCGTGAACTGATACTCCGTGGGAGTGTTCGATACATACATTATAACCGATATGTGTACTACTCGGCGAGATTTGCTCATCTCTCATACGTATGTAGTTGGTAGGTTCCAAAATAGAAGGGGGAGAGAATAGACGACGGCATCAGCCGCCTCTAGTGGAACCCCAACCCTTGGCTTTAAGAGCCGAATCAGGGACGATGACCAGGGGATGCTGTACGTGGGTACTTGGAAGATGGTTGAGAAAGCGACCACCCCTGTACTCCTTGGCAGTATCTTCTCTCTCTTTTCTTCCCATCAGTTTCGGGGCTAAGCAATTCGCAAAGCGTATCAGCGAACAGCTGCGAGGGCTTAAAAGAAAAAAAAAAAGGAAAAAAAAAATCGGTCCTTTCACCCTCGGGTAGGAATGCTGACAACGATTCTCCGAGGAATACGTAGGTAGCCATTGTAGAAAAAAAAAGCAACATACCAGGGCACAGCGATCAAGACGTTGCAGAGAGAGGCTGGCACGACAATTCAGGTTGTCAGGTCATAACATGTGGAAATCTATTTACTGGAACCTTTTGGAATGATAATCATATATCTCTCTCTACCATATATGGAGGAGTTAACTTCAGTATATCGCCCGGAGTTCATATATGCTTTCTATTATTAATCGGACGTGGTTAATTATTTTGATATAAAGGATTTCAATCGTCAACGTAACTGTCAAATGTCTATCTACGTGCATATTCTCATTTAGATGTACTCTTGCTTTAGGTACCTCGCATGAGAGCTGCGTTGGAGAGGTTGAAAAGAAGAAGTAGACAACTGTCGCCATGTACCCCGAATTTAATCGCAACTCACCGCGTTAAGGGCGTCAACTACAATGAGGAAGGTCATATCTATAATGGACGTACAGTTTTAAGAAATCCGACTCGAGCAACGCCGTTCTTTACTTCTACATAATAGATTGCGAGTGTATCGCAATGTAGGCGGCGTCTTCCTCAGCTACGCGGTATTTTAGAAGTCGTTTACAAGAAATAAAATCTCCTTCCAAGGGTATCCAAGGAAGAAGTTTCAAGTCGTCTACCTTTTTCGATAATGAGGCTTCGGGGACCACTCGTTACGCAGAAGCCTCTCTGATTCGACTCGTCCTCATTAAAAGCATGCATGACACACTCTTTCCATCCAGATACCATCAGGCCCCTCTCCACAAGTCTGTATGGGGGTGTACCGGCATGACATAATCTAGGGAAATCTGTCGTTGGGAAAATATACGATCCAAATGTACAGTTTACCAGCTTTGCAGCTGCTTCCTATACCTATTACATTATTGTACAATACATGCGGACGATGTACTCTCGTATGATGATCGCCCTTGGCAGTGGGGGAGGGGAGACCATGTCGCAGGGATTTTGCTGCTGCTGCTGCGCTTCTACAGTGATTGTAGAAAGCCAGTCCGTACGGTCAAGACTTGCCTCACCTAACAACCGGAAATGGTATCAATCTAGATCATGTAAGGCTTACTCTTCCGGCTTACCATATTCGTACACAGCAGTATAATGACTACAGTACGTATGACTGACTACCTTTATGTGCTACTGTAACTTATAAGTTACAGAAAAGCTATTTACATGAGCTTCGTACGGCTCACCCACGACGTACGTACCTCGCATAAGAATGCACAGCTATGAGGCTCCTAAACCCCGACTCGGTAAATTGAAGAAGAACACGCTTAGAGTTACGTGTAATTACCCTCATATTTCTCTCATTCCGCGAATAAAATTCCCTACCTTGCGTGTCCAGAATTTCTTTCATGGACTAATGTCAGCGGTAGACTACACGCGTAAGATGTAAGTAAGTACAAAATTGCATCTTCGTGAGATTAGTGGCACCCTCACACGAAGGTCCAAGGTTCTTATTCTAGGCACGCCAGGACTCGATCGTCATACCTCCGCTCAGATCTTAGATACGGCCGTACATAGTAGGTAACCTAGCGGGTTAGGTAGATCGCGCAGTTATGGGACCAACAATGTAGCCGCCGCCAAACTAACGTACGGGCCAGCACTGTCAGCCCAGAAATATTATGCAAGTATTATTATCATGTCGTACGGAGGTCTTCAAGGGTGCCGTACCGGCCCAATGCTCAGTAAGCAAAGTCGTCTATTAGAAAAGTCATCGTAGATGTTGAGCATCCAAACCGAAGCTTAAGGTTGAAGCGGCAATTACAAAGGAGACCGACGTGCTTATAAATTGATTATAACACTGATCATGGCGATGTATGGATATAATCCTTTCTCGTAGGGGTACGATTTTTACTTGTCCGGCTTAAGCGTACGATACCCCGAGTCGTACACGGGCCCTGCAAGCATGGTCCATTTACGTCCCAATAGTTTGGGCCAAAGTCCGGTTGGTTCCTTGTCTCGCACATGCTAGACGGCTATGGACGTCCCTCAGTGTCTCTACCTTACTACCCAGAGAGCTGTTTACCAGCTGGCCTAAAATCGAGGTTCCTGGATGTCGGGAACAGATTATCTGGCCCTGTCATACCCTGAGGTTTGTCGCAGATTCGCGATAGACACCCCTTGTAGGTAGCACGTCCCCGTCTCTTGGGACCAAGTTATGTATGGAAGAGATTCGCTTGTGCAACTCGACTGCACAGTTCGTTCCTAGCTCATCCTT